CGAAGGAACGGTGACGGGAGAACGAAGAACGTAACGATCGTGCAGCGAACGATCCTTAATGCCGCCATTGGAAGTCGTTAAGATTTCGGAGGAGCTGCGGGACTGACGGCCTGATGGACTGAAAATGGATATTTCACACATTCTCAGCAGTAGCCCAGCAAATGATACGTCATAGGAGTGAAAAGGCCATAAATGGTTCGAGTATTTGGTCGAGTTACGTAACCTATAGGCCCCCAAATAGTTTAAAGTAACCCAAGAAATCTACAGCTTTACCTTGAAAAGGTTACCACTCTAGCAAAAGTTACGAACTGTAACACGATGCTCTAGCTCTATTTAGGCTTTCCATAGCATATCATCCTAATCAATTAATTATTTATATTAACATTGATAAGAATCGATCAGAGTGTTTGAAAGACAGGCGCTTGCCAGATAGTTTAACAAACCGCACACACTACGCACAGATTGATATGAATTAATCTGAAATTTAGCAGAGACGTGTTATAGGGAAGATCACATTGTCATTGCATTGCGAAATCTGTGTTAAAATAAGAGTGAAACATGCAATTTGTAATAATAATATCACTTAGGCCTTCTGCTGATATAACACAATGTTTTCCTGGATGTATGTTTTTTGTTCGCTAACCGAAAACGTGATCGCCCCACGTGGATCGGTGGGGGGTAATAGGGTTTATTTGAGGGGTGACGTACCCCATAAAGATACCCAGAGTGGTGGTTGGTCAGTGGCAAAGAGATAACCCCGGGGGCACTACGTGTTCAGATAGATAGTGCCGATATGAGTGGGCTCTACAGCTCTGAGTTGTGTATATAATATATATACATATACATATATATGGGTATTCTGATTCCGATTGTCGACGGCCACTATAGTGCACTTTGTAATTGCTCGAGCCCCATTCCCATTCCGTCGAAATTGTTTACAGAATCGACTTTTATTGGCCGACAAATAGAACTTGGCACTTGAATCGCCTTTGTTTGATCTTATCGCCTGATAAGGCTCGCCTGTATGCATATATATAGTCTACGTATATTTTCTTCTATGGGTTTAGTCATAAGCTAAATGAGCACGTCTCTTGTTCATAGTTCAGGAATTTCCTGCTTGTTTTGTTTCCCCAAAGGGCTTCTCATCTAGTCACATGATATTCGTCCTTGTGGTGAAATTAAAAATGATATAAGAGTAAGCTATTGAAGAGTTGATAGTTGTTTTGTGAATGAAGTTAGGTACATGGATCAAATTTCTATATAAGGCCAAGTAGTATGTTGTATCTATTATAAAATTTGGACTGTATATTTGAATGAGTACAGCTGTTTTAGCATCCATTGGGTTTAGGCTCAAAGCTTCAGAAGATTGATTTTAATCTGCATCAATTTAAGGATGTACATATTTATTGGAAGAAGAAGGACTGACGAGATGTAGAACAATGTAGAAGAATTAAGATAAGAATTGGTAATATTTTGTGGGAAATTAATGGTACTAAAATCGTATTTCAATATAAGGCCTATAGGGATGTTGCAACTTTGAGATACTTTTGATATTCAAAGATACTCTATCTTTGTCATCAGTATCTAATAGTTTCTAGAATCTTCATCTGTACCATATTCTATGGGACGTAGTTTTTTGAAATATATGTGTTTGAGCTTTAAAGAAGAAGATTCCTGGAAAAGCTTAACACTGACTTTGTAAGATTTAATATATCCTAGTATTTAAAGGATATATGCATATAAAAGTTTCATTCTGCCAGGATACGCATTTGTGCTTCTTTTTTTTTCTTGGCGAAGCTCCATCTTGTGGAGTTCTTGTTCGCGCCTTCCCTTACGTGCCCCGTTCTTCTCGTGTCTTCTCTCTCCTTCTGTCGTTCGGTGTTTGTTTGTGTGGGCTTATTCAAACGCAGACAGCGCGGCGGCAGCGTCGGTCAGCAAAAGCAACCTGAGGCCTGCTCCTCGTTTTCCTTCTCCTCCTCCTCCTCCTCATTCTCTCTCCACGATCGGAGATCATAAGTGCCCCAGCACGTCGTTCTCCTTCTGCGCCTCCTCCTCCTTGTTCGCTGCCGCGCCCTTTCCCTTTCCCAATTTTTTATACTTGTTTTTTTTTTCCTCAACTTTTTAATCAATTCATATGTCTTAGTGTGTGTGTATGTGTGTATAGGTTTCTTCGATTTTTACGTTACCTTTTATATTCAATTTTTATCTCTTTGCCTTCGTCTTTTCCGCTTCTTTTTTTGTTTTGTTTTTTGATAAATCGATTTAGAAGCCGACGGGGTCTAAATAAAAAGAGTGGAATTCTTTTGATTTTTATGTGAGATTGGTTGTGTGTGTTGCTTTTGAACTTTTTGTCGGTTGAATTGTGTGCATGTGTGTGTGGTGCGGCGTTTTTTTCGACATATTTTTGGGTTGTTTGTGGCCGCTTTACTTGGAAATGCAATTCAAAAATGTATTTTTCTCGCCTTATATTTTAAGATTTTTTAAATTCTTTCCCTTCATATTTTTTTTTTTTAATATTTTTCAAAAGAAATCAATTAAAAAAGTAAGTTTGTACATATATTGTACATATGTATGTATGAACATATATCCTTTAGTTATTTTATACATTTATATTTTTAATATAACAGAGAGGTACTTTTCAATTTGTTTAAAACAGTGCCTTTTCTGTTTTCCTGTTTTATATATAAAAAAGGAAGTTGTACTGAAGCCTATTTATTATTTTCACTGTGATGCATTTTTGGATTGCTTTATTTTAATTAAACTTTTTTCAATGTAAAATTTTTTTCGAGTTTCTTATCCTTTCTTCAGGCTCCATTTTGTATTGCCATCTCTCTTGCTCTTCCCTGATCTTTATATTCCCTTCCAGACAGTCCGTCGTCGGTGTGTCACACAGTGGGGTCAAAAGGGGCGGCGGAGAGCGAGCTGCGGTACAGTGGGGCGGGGCAAAAGCGATGTGGGAATCATTTTGGGTCCAGAGATCTATCATCGTTTTTTCAGATAGGTGACTCAAAGATCTCCGCTCCCTTGCTCCCCTCATCTTTCCCCCACCATCTCGCACGCGCAAATTGATGTTCACCACACACTCTATTTTTTTATATTTTTTGTCTTTTGTTATTTATGAATTTGCATACACACGCAAGCAAAGCAGCCCACTGTCCCGTACACAAACACCAACACGTAGAGGGTGAGCTAGCGAGCGAGCGAGGTGGCTGCGTGCATATGTGTTTCATTCATGAATTCCAGATTTTCGCCGAAGCAGGAGAATCCACATGATGAAGAACGCTGAGAAGAAGAAGAGGCGGCAGGCCGCAGCAGCAGCATTTTCGTTTGTCATTTGCAACAAGTGCGGGGCACTATTGTTGTTGTTCTCGGCTGCATTTATTGCAGTCTGCTGTTGTTTTTTTCGAGCTTAGACAGAACGGCGGCAACGTCGACAGAAATAAGCTATGTATACATATACCACAAAAGCATACATATATATGTACATATGTGCACCCACGGCCATAGCAGCGAGTAAAAAAGGAAGATAGTTGGAGATGTCCGTATGTATGTGTGCCTGTAAAAATATAAAAAATGCAGCGCTCGTTGCATTGCACATTCAACAGTTGATTTGAGAGAGTGAGAAAGCAGCTGCCGCCGCCGCCGTTGCCTCTCTCGGGCGCTCAACAAGTTCGGGCGACGATCTGTTGCGTCGGTCGTGCCCGAGAGCGGGTGCGAGTGCTAAGGGGTGGGGGTCAACAGGGGCGGGGGGCGTGGAGTGGCAGTGCCAGAATGTCTGGCAGCCACGACTCTGGCGCACACACACTGGGACACTTGCTAGCGCTCGTGTGTGTGAAAAACTGGCAGAGCCAGCGAATTTGTAGCGCAGCCAGGCAGCAGTGAAACAACAACACCACACACAGCACACACGGCAACAGCAACCGCAACGTCGCTAACGTCGTCGCAGCACAGTGGGGCCAAAGCGAAAGCAAAGTGGCAAAGGGCATTCAAGGAGAAATCTATTATTAATTTATGTATTTAATTTAATTTTCCAAGTTTTAGAAATGCAAAATGTTATAAAAAGTTGCGGTATTGCAGATTTGATCTATAAAATATATCAAAGTCAAAGGTTCAAAGTTTCTAAGGTTAACAGAAATAGATATATCAAAATTGTATGTAAAGTAAAATACAGATATTAACAATTTAATTGGAAGGAGGCTGGGCAGCTTTTTAATTATGGTTTGTCCAAGGACCTATAGAAAATATCAGAACAAGCATATAAAAATGACGATTGCGTTAACTTAGTTTATTTCTTAAAGAGCAGACACATATAAAAAAAATGAAAATATTAAATACAATTAAACTTTAACTAAAATGTGAAAATAGGATTAATTAAAAACATTGAACTTAAATTGAATATGTATTATACATATTTCCTCCGTCTTACAAAATTTGTCGTTTATTAAGCCTTGGCCCCACAGTACCTCCGCCGCCGCGGTGTTTGTCAGTTAGTCAGTCGAGTCGTCGGGTGACTGTGGCAGCGCTCCGGAATGGAATAAGGAACGGGTGCCGCCAGGGGAGGGGACGCGTCCGTCCCCTGCTGTCCATTCGGTCCCACCGTACACGAACAACAAGAACAACAGCACGGCGCACAAAAGCGCCGCGGCAGTAATAACAACAACAAGAACGGGTACGGCCACTGGGGTCTGGCGTCTCGCTCGCTCCACACGCACACATGGAAGCGCAGACACCTCGCCGACGATTGTCGTCAGTTTGTCTGCAGTGCTCGGCGCCGTTGTTGTTGCGCCGCGGCTCGGCTCGGCGCTCTCTCGATGCCACTCTCACTCACACTGACGCACACCCACACGAACGCCAGCAGACAGGCAGGCAGCAAAGGCGGCGCTGTGTCCGAGTGTGCGTGTGAGTGAACGAGCACGAGCGAAGCCGGCAGCGACGGCGACGCTGGCCGCGGCAGCGGCAGCGACTGAGCGAGGCAGTCTAGAACGTATCTTCGAACTAGAACGCCGAGGGCAGAACAATTGTGTTTTGGATTCCTTGCCGTGCGGATCGCAACGCGAGTTATGAGAACGAAGTGAACTAACTCAGACAAAACTTACAACAACTGCGCTGGCAAAACAACATTATCATTACATGCACTATTTTTTTTAACAGTGAATTGAATATATTGAAAAGGCAAAAATTAAAAAAGTAAAAACAGAAAGAAACCAAAAACGAAACGAAGAAACGCAACGGATTTTCAAAGTGTGAGCGTGTGCGAGTCGAGTTGAGGTTGAGTTGAGTTTTTTGAGAGTGTGTGTCTGTAAGCGTCGCCGTCGACGTCGCTGCTGTCGTGTGGAACAGAGCTGCCAGATCGCGAGTTATGAAAGCGCAAGCGTCGCATGCAAGTAGCAATAACAGCTACAACAACAACAAAAGCACCTAAGAACAGAGAGAACGTGAACAACAAATTTATAAGCGAAATATATATATATATATTATATATTTTTGCTATTCAAACGTTTTATAAACGCCAAAAACAAAAAACCAGAAGAAAATACTTTAAAAGATGGATAGCAGCAGCAGCGAGCAGAGTTTAATCAACGGCGGAGCTTTGAATTTCAAGCGGCCCAAGGATGCGACGACCACGGAGAGCAACAACAACAATAGCAGCAACAGTAATGGCAACAACAGCAGCAGCGGCAGCCCCAAAATGGGCAGCCGTCGCATCTTCACGCCGCACTTTAAGCTGCAAGTCCTGGAATCGTATCGCAACGACAACGACTGCAAGGGCAACCAGCGGGCCACGGCTAGGAAGTACAATATCCACCGACGTCAGATCCAAAAGTGGCTGCAATGCGAGTCGAATCTGCGCTCATCGGTGGCCAACAATCAGCAGCAGCAGCAACAGCAGCAGCAGCAACATCCACATCCGCATCACCTTGCCCCCCAACAGTCGCAGCAGCAGCAGCAACTGTCGCCGCAGCAGTCTTCGTCCGTTTCGCCCACGCCCGTCAAGGTGTTCCATCAGCTAAGCCATCCTTTGGTCCATCAGCTGCATCATGCCCACCATGCCCACCATGTCCATGCCCAGGCTCAGGCCCATCATCATCATCATCATCATCACCATGCTGCCGCAGCGGCAGCAGCGGCGGCAGCAGCAGCAGCAGCAGCGGCAGCGGCCCATCATGCTCATCATCTGCTGGCCAATGGCATGGTGCCGCATCCGCATCCACTGGCGGCAGCCCATCCGCATCTGCATGTGCCAGTGCCAGTGCATCCGCATATGCAGCAGCCGGAGCAGGAGAAAATGCAGCAGCAGCAACAGCAGGAGAAGATGCAGCAATTGCCTCCAGCAACCAATGGTAGCAGCAATAATCAGCTTTCGGCGGCCAAGATCGCAGCCGTGGTTGCGGCAGCCATGGCCACCAGCACAAATGCTAGCTCCAATGCGACCAATGGTAGCCCCCATCCCCATCCTCAGACCCTGCCTCAGCCCAGCCCCACCAGCGCCAATACATTGCCATATAGCAGCAGCGCCTGCAACAGCAGCAGCAACCCAAGCAACAGCAGCAGCAGCAACCAAGTGCCAACACAAGTGCCAATCCTGGGCAGCAGCTCCCCGGGAAGCAGCAGTTCCGCCGTCAGTCACATTCCACTCATGCCTTATCCCTACCATGCCGCCGCCGCTGCCGCCTATCACCTGGAGAGTCGCCTGGAAGCGGTGGCCACGCCTGCGCCCATGGATCTATCCCTTGGCTCCTCTGCTCGTCGCCAAATGCAGATGCTAGAAAAGGATGACCAGGATGGTCATACAACAGGGGCTGGTGTGGATCTGACCTTCAGGAAGCGCAAGGTTATCACCATGCCGGTGCAGCCGGATAAGATCAGTAAGCTGGAGCAGACGGCCGCCATTAAGTTGGAGCCGGAAACGGAGACGGAGAACGAGGATGTGGAAGTGGATGTGGAGACGGAGCAGCCAGAGGAGCACAACAACAAGCTGCCCTCCAAGCAGGTCAAGCTGTTCAAGCCCTATTTACTGGATGATGAGGAGGAGCACGAGGACGAGCATGAGCATGAGGAGGACAGGGAGGATCTAGATGGCGAGGAGGAGGAGCAGGAGGCACGCGATGCCGATGCAGATGATGATGAGGAGGAGTCCGAGAAGCAGCAGCAGCAAAATCGCCGCCTTAAGAAGAAGGCAACGGTATGCGAACAGAGGGATCCCATTATTTGGAGCAATCATCCCTATGCAGCGGTATCGCCAGGACGCTCCTCCAGCTCTAGCTTTCATTGCCCCCTGCAGACATTTCCCGTCAGCGTCAGCTCCAGAGGGAGTCCTCCTCAGTTTCAGCACGATACGAAAGCCAACAGCAGCAGCAGCAGCAGCAGCACAACACCCCTCAGCCCCTTCTCGGCGCCCGCCCTCTCGCCCACCGGCTTCTGCTGTCCCAAAGGATCTCCCGTTTCCGGCTATGAGAGCAGCTCCTCCACCTATAGCGACAACAGCAGCAGCCGGAGCAGCACGGGCAGCGGCAGTCTCAGCGGCAACTACAGCCTCAACCTGCAGCTGCATGCCGTCTACAACGACAACAACCTGATGTACATCCAGCAGCAGCAACAGCAGCAGTACCAGCAGCAGCAGCAGGCCCATCACCAACAGCAGGCGCACCTGCAGCGCTGGCTGGATCAGGAGCAGGCACTGGCCAGGACAGCGACGCCCCTGATGCTCGCCTCGGGCAGCAGCCCCACGGCGCCCACGAACCTGACCCTGGTGGCCTGAAGGAATTAATACAAGAATACTTAGCAGAAGGAGGATAAGGAGTGGAGAGAGAGGATAACGAGGATACGGAGCAGCAATCCCACCAATCGGAAGTTATGGCAGTCACTGGGCCTGGCCTTTTAGCTATCTAAGCCATCATTTTTTTTATTAGTATTTTTAATATATATATTTTAACTAGCACCTAAGTCTTACCTTAAAGAATGTTAGGATCGTAAGTGAAACAAAAACATATATCTTCCAAGCATATCAGCAAAAAGAGAAAACACTAAAAATAAACCCCGAAAGCAGCCCATAGGTCTTAAGTTTAAATACTTATATATTTTATTCTTTTTTTTTTTTTTTTGGCTACCAACTAAGAACAAATTAAGCTTAAGTTGTGTATTTTTTTTTTTTTTTTAATGTGTGTCTGTTCTTTTTTTTCAAGTGTAAATAATTGTGTAAAAAAATCAAGAAGCCAAGCGAAACATTTGAATTTTGCTAAAAAAAAAAAAAGGAAAGGAATTTCAACGCTTAAATTTAATTTGTGAAGAGAGAGAGGGAGGGGGGTAAAATGTGAGAAAAATGCAACGCAGAGAAACTGAGAGAAAAATTTGTTAAGAGTAAAACGCAAGCTTTAAAACACACACCAACACAACACACACATACACGTTTGGAAATTGAAAATTGAAAATTCTTGTGATATTGAAAAACAACAAAACAAAATTTTGTAATAAACATAAAAAAAATTGTTGAAAACTGAAGCTTAAACAATATATATATTCTATATACATATATATATATTTACAAACGAGAGCAAGAAATTAAATGTAAAAGAGTTAACAATAATAATAATTATATACAATATACATATATACAATATATTTATATATATACAAAACCAGAGTTTTTTTTTAAAAGGGAAATCTTTAGAGCTATAGAAATATCAGTATTTTTCTATATAAAAAAAGATATATTTGACAAAAACAAATACAATAATTGTGTGACCATAAAAACAACCATACAAACAACAACAACAATCAACAAAACCAAGCAAAAATCAACAACAAAAGCGAATCGATTAAATTAACAGCAGAAAACTAAAAAAAAAAAATTAATTAAACTGGTTTTATCATTGAATTTTGGGGCTGGGACTTGGCTTCGTTGGGAGATTTAGCCATGGAACTGGGCGTGGCCATGATGAATCTTTGCTTTTCTGGAGGATACTATTGGAGAGATTGGTATCTATATTTTCAGAATGGAGTTTAGGGATTTTGGGTCTAAGTTTACATGATATGGCTACCTGAACTGAAGGACAACCAAGTTGGAAACAGTTGAATGAGCTTAAATAGACCCAAAACTGGAGTATCTATGTTTGGAGGATTATAGGGATTTTTTATGTTTATCATAGACTTGACATTAAACAAAGAATGAAGTTTTGGATCCAAATGTGGAATAGCCACTGTGGATACTGTTAATGGAGGGGTTGCAGCTTGTTTTTCCTTTTCAAATGGATTTTATAAATTCAGGATAATTTCTTGCAGATTTACCCATAACAAATATTATCTTGATTATAACCCCGTTGGGATACTGATTAGTGACTTTGATGGTCTACGAAAATCTAGGGACATAGGGCTAAATCGACTTGGCTGTTGATGCTGATCAAGAATATCTATAATTATATATATATATAAATTTTTTTATAAATTGAGAATTCAGGGTATTTTTGTATAATTTTATAAAGTAAAACTATCCTTATCCACCATCTTAAAAAAAAAAAAAAATAATTTATAAAACTTCGTAAAAAAATTAAACTACCTTTGCTTTCCCCAAATCCAGCTCCCATAATCTAGACAAATCTGCCCGGCTATAGCTACGTAATTCCTTTGGCTGACTGTGCGAGAGGGATTTATAGAACGAACCGATTGCCGTTTGATCTTGGCGATCCTCATGGACTGTGATGTGATGGATATGCGTGTCACGGGTTATGGCTTAAGGCTTTCTAGGGTGGCTTTTCCATGTGTGTGTGTGTGTGGGGATGGGGGGGGGTTAGTACTAGGTATTGTACTTATACTATATAGCAGCGCGGGCCCCCTGATCGGATCTCTCTACTCGGTTTCGCGCTGGTCAATTCGCTTGGCACATTTCGGCGGCGGGGTATGACTAAGCCGCAAATTCTATAATGATTGTATTTTTAAAACGTTTAAAAATAAAGTGCTCTCGTTTGCCAATGTGTGCGCCAATCACGAGCCCCACAGCACCAGCACCAGCAGCAGCACCATCACCATCAGCCCCACCACTGCCAGCCACACACATGCCCACAGCCACAGTCACTGGCAGAGGCACTGCCACAGCCACATCATCGTCAGAGGCAGCAGCGATCGAATTGGATGGGATCCGTTGGGTTTGGGGCTTGGGATCGTTGGTTCTTTATATATATATATATATATTTTTTTTTTTTTTTTGAAGGGGTGGACGGGGGGTTTCGGTTCTCGAGTCATTGTTTTTCACTTGACGCGCTTTTCCTTCTTCTTCTTCTGCTTCGGCAGAGTGAAAAACTAAAGAATTTTTGCGACATTTGCGGACAGAGAGAGGAGACCCCTTTGGGTTTGGGGGAAAAGAATATACATATATCGAAAGGAAAAGTTCGAATCCGAAAATCTAGCAAACTTTACAAATTTAGCGGTCTATATCATAGTAAGGAAGAGAATGGAAAGAAATGGAAATCACGAAATAAGAAATAATATGAAAAATAAGGCAAAGGAACAATAAGGAATGTAAGAAGATCCACTGGGAATGGAGGAAATGGAACCGAAATAATGGTTTACAGGCAAGGAACTCAAGTGTGGGAGAAAATTAGGCAGGGAGACAGTGGCAGTGAAACAGTGACAGAGGAACGGTGGCACGGGAACAGTGACTGTGATATAAAAACTAAAACAATAGGTATACGTTTTAAGGAAAAGAACTTAGACACAGAATTATGACAAGGAAACAATGTCAAGGAAATAATGGGAAGGGAACAGTGACAAGTAAATAGTGGGAAGGGAACACTGGCAAGTAAACAGTGGTAATGAAACAGCTGCAACAAAAGCAGAAAATATGGAAGCGGAACACAAACCACAGGAAGCAAAGGCAACACAGGATCTACATAAAAGAAGAACAGGTTTGGTGGGAAGGAAAGAAAAGGAAGCTAAGAAAAATCGGTAGACCAGTAACCAGGGAACAGTGGCAATGGAACACTAACCAGGGGAACCCAGGGAAAAGCACAGGCTCTACACAAAGGAGGGTAAGCAGGTGAGGAATATGACCCAACCGAAGGCAAACCAAACTACACACATTTGCCAGATCGCGGGACCGTGGGAGGAGCTACCGATCTCGCAGATGATTGCAAAATTTCGATTTATTTTCGTGTTGTTTTCGTCGTAGCGCGTTGCCGTGTAAACTTTTGCTCGCTTTCTTTTCTTTTATTATTTTTTTTCTTTTCTGTGGTGCTATGTATGAGGTTTTCTCTGTGATGCCACGTGACAAATTTCGATCGTAGAAAAAAATAAAATAAATAAATATATATTTTGATTTGCAGGCAGCCAAAAATTTTACAAAGTAAATACGGGAAAAAGGGAGCAGACGGTAGGGGATTGTATTGGCGCAGGAATAGATTTCACCTGAGTCCCAAGTCTCGAGTCGCGAGTGCTTTGCAGATGGCAAGATCGCCACCGCCACCGCCTTCGCCTCTATATATATATATATATATATAAAGGTACCTGCAAGTACCTAGTGTACCTTATATACAAATATACACCTTCTGCTATCGATCGAGCAAGTTTTTGTGCACCCGCGATGTTGTAATCACAGGAACGGATCTCGCGCGATCCGATTGACGGCAACGATCGTGACATAATCATGTTATATGAATGATTTCTGTTTTTTTTTTTTAAATCTGAACTGTACCAATTGTGGTTATATCTGTGGGATATTTCTAGGTTATGACAAAAGGAATGTTTTTTAGATACTTAGCAAATGATACGATCATTATTACCAATTAATAAATATATTTTCCGATATATGAACTCTTTTTAGTTTGACAATTGATCTAAAAATTGTGAAAATATGCAGGTAATCCTTGAATGTACTAGAAACTTTATTCCTAGACTCATTCTTACACACTTGCAGGGTATTATATTAATAAGACAGATGCTTGCAACGCAGTGAACAGCATTAACAGCCGAGTCGTTCTAGACAAGTAACGAAGCAAAAAAAGATTTTTTTAATTTTTTCAAAATTTTATAAATAACCCTTTAACGAACTCTTTTTAGTTCCACTAAATACCCATAAGTGTGATCTAAAAACTCCAGTTCCCCTCCAAGTGGAGATCACTAATCAATCAGGGCAGCCGGGCAAGGGATCCATCAATGTTACGGGCTCACTCTGGCGGATCCATCAGATCCCCGATCGAGATATAGTAAGTACCCGCCCCATTTGTACTAATATTTCGGGCATTTTTTTATTTAATCAGATTTTGCAGTTTATTTTTGGTACAAATAACAATCAAATAAATCATTCTCGAGTGGGCAAAAAAAAAGCGTTAACTAATTATAGAATCAGTGTTGGTTTTCTTATGCCTGACAGTGTCAAATCGGTGCTCTTCAAATACAATATTTAATTCACTAAACAAAAAAATAAAAACGATCATCGATTTCGGCGGCTTGGTGGAAAACATATTGTGTAAGGTCGACCCAGACCAGATATAGATACGGCAGTGGTTATAGGAACCCCGTCCAGACCCAATTCCAATTCTGGCCAGGTTCTAGACTCGGTTGCTATCTTGACAGGCGGATAAATCGCGACCGAAATTGATAACCTAGCGAGGTTTCTTTTTTTTTTATTTTTTGTTAGGTAGTTTTTTAGTTCGTTTAGTTAGTGCAGGGCTTGGGCCAGTTTCCGGCGGCTTAATGGAGGTTGATCGATGAACACACGGCTAGCGATCCAGCGATCACTCGGCGACTATATACAGTCGAGCTTCGGCTTATTTAATAACAAAATATATAAAAAATAAAATTTTTAAAAATATATAAAATTCCATATATTTTCCAAATTGGTAGATATATTATATACATTTTTTATTGCAGTCTTTAAATAAAAAATAAAAATAATAAACAATATAAAAATAATTTAAAAATAAATAAAAAAGAAATATCTCCCCCTTAAAAAAAATAATTTAATAAAAAAGGCCACATAGTTTTCAAATTCGTATATATATGTATATATTTTTGTTTATTACAGTCATTAAAAAATAGCTTATATAAATAATATACAAAGTCGCGTGATGTTTTCAGGTGTTATTATAAAAAATAAGAAAAAAACAATAATAAAACTAACATAAGGCAAGGGTAGAATAATAGTTGCTTTGTTTTTTTTTTTTTTTTTGTTTTTAAGAAGTTTGACTGTATATAATAGATATAGGTATAAATATTGGTATTATTAGTTTAGTGGGTAGTTCCAGTAATCGTTTGGTTTGCGCTGCTCGCTCTGTTAAATGCTGTGGCATATATCATAAATATTACATACGGATTAAACTTAACTAGACGTATAGTTCTATATATATATATATATATATACATGCGTATATATATATCGATCGATGAGGATCGCCCTGGGATTTGCTGGAATCGAAAAATAGAATTGCACGCTGACATGGACACTCACACACACTCACTCACGGACTGGGCTAACATGGGGTATATATACACCACTATATATATAGAAATACATATATACATAGAGGCTGGACTAGACATCCTTGTAGTCCACCGATAAATGCAGGAAATTGTCTGGATAACTAAGGTGCTCGGACATCCACTGCAGCTGCGTTTCCTCGTGAAGATCTATACCATGGGTGCGGCATCCAACTACAAATAGGTACAAAAGGGGCTAAGATATAGTATATATAATATATATATTAGCTAAAAAATATTTTTAAAATAAATAAATAATTAAAAAGCTAAGTAATTCAAGATATATTGCAGTATAGATATTTGACGATAAATCGATATTTTATCGTTGTAATATACGAAATGTGCCATAAATTAATAATATGTGTCTATAATATGTGTCTAAAATAATCGGAAAAAAGTAAAAAAAATAATAGTAATTACATTTTTCGAACATTTTTTGAAAATATCAAAATTCTAAAATTATATTAATTATATAAAATTATTTTTCAATGTTTAAAAAATCGATAAATCAAAGTTTAAGCTATTTCTGATATAATATTAAATGTGATATATTTATCTAAATAAATATGGGACTTTATATGTATTTAAATCCTGGATTTAACATTTATATATATAGATATAGCCTTTTTGGTGTTTCTATTTTTGTTTTCCCCCGTTCAAACATATTATTAATATTCCCTATAATCAAAGTATCAATCATTCCTAAAACCCTCTAAATGTTCAAAGCAATTAGACCGCCGAAACAAGTCTGATAATCCGAAAAAAGTCCCCCCAGGAGTTCATAGGTATAGGAAATCTTCTATAATGATTGATCATATAATTATTACATTTTAATATATATCCTTAGTATACACCTAATGAAAAGCTTTAATGGAAATACCCACTAAAGGCTTACAATTATGTAAAAAACAAACGCCAATCAATATAGTTTATTAATGAGCGAATATATTGCTTATATTATAATGAATGAGATCAGCCAGGGGATTACTTGAGGCGAGAGATAAGCCAGCTTGCTCTATATAAACAGCGGAGTTGGTGATCATGATCAATTTGCGGGCTATAAAAGATTACAGAAGAGCCCAGAGAAGTCTCCACAGAATTGGACTATTGGAAATCTGAGTTTCAGAGCCTTATCTACATGTTCTCCCTCTTTTCTTTTTTTCTTTGTGTGGCTAATCATGTTTTGTGACGAAATTTCGTCATTTTTAATTTTAGCATATGAATTGTAATTATAGATTGCCGATCACCGATTCCAAAAGTGCCATTATTGCGATTGCCAATCGCCGGCGTCGTCGTCGTAGTCGTAGTCGTGGGTTATGGCAAGTCAGTCGGTGTTGATATGGTCTATATAGTATATATAGTATGCTGATAATGGCTGATTACATACGGTGGGAGGCGAATGAGCGTTTGCCTGCAGATAAGATTTTGTGCAACGGGCGCGCGAGTTCATGCTTAAAAAAGAGCCCCCGTCCACCGTTTTCCGTTTCCTTTCGTTTCGTTTCATTTCGTTTCGTTTCCATTCCATTTCATTCCCCGCAAGTCACGAGTTTAATGACCAAAGCTAATGGCGCTACCCAAAAATAAAATATAATAAATAACGCCGCGAGGGCAATTTCAGTAGCAGCGTTTAATCAGGTGGTTTTTTTTTAATGGGGTTTCAAAATAAATTATTAAAATATTAATAGAACTAGTATGAAAAAATGTATACATACATTTTTATATTCAGCTTAAGACTGATTACATTTATGATTATAATAAAAATATTTTAATGAGGCATTATTAGTTGTGACATGAAAGCAATTAATACAGTCATTAGGGGTATTTTTAAGGCACTTAAAGAAAATTAAAAACAAAAAAAAAAACCTAAACGTTCTAGGGAAAAGGTACATATGTACATATATAACATTTATTGCATTTTATTACATTATTATATTATATTATTATTATTATTTTTTTAATATTTAAAAAAAATATCACAGAAATATCTTTTGAAATAATCCTTACACAGCTCATAAATCTTGCAATTAAAATTATTAAATATTCAAAAATTTCAAGAAAATTCTTGAGACACTCGGGTGGATCTTCTTCACTCTCTCTCTCTTTCTCTTTGACCCTCTTCCCTCTCCCTCGCTAAAATGAGTATAAAAACAGGCAGTCAGGGGCGTCCCTTGCGCGCGCCAAGTGGCGCCAAACCGTCTGAAAATTTATTGATCCCATTTTTTATTATCGTCGTCGTCAGCAACGAAAATGGGGGGAAAGAAAAAAAAAAAAAAAGTAAAACGTGGAAACAGGAGGGAACGACATGGTGTATAGCTCATAGCTAAAAATAAACAAAAATCGTTCCACCGATCTCTCTGATAAGGCCCCCAGCTCCAATCATCATTATAATCACTTAATAGATTGTGTTCCTATAAAGCCATTAAAGAAAACAATATAGAAACTGGGCTGAAAAAAAAACAGTCAACCCAATCCCATCCAATCGTTCCAATTCCAAATGTTCCACCTGCAGTGGGAAAATGACATTTTTGCAGTTCAGTGACAGTGACGCCATAAGAAAGCTCCCCCCAGCTAAAAAGTGCTAATCAATTGTTTTTTGTGGGCTTTTTTGTTTTGTCTTACTTTTCAATTTTAATTTCAGTTTAAGTTTATTTTCATGCCGCTTACAAAGTAGAGAAGGAAATTCGGCGAGGGGGAGGCAAACGGAAGGAGAAATACAAAAAAATTCGTTGACGTTTGCAGTCCGAGTTGTGAATTGAAGATTGCAACTGATTATTGCCGATCAACCAGACGAAAAAACAAACAAACTTTAGAGAGAAAAGAACGGGAAACGAATAAGGAAAAAAAAACATGGATAAAAGTGGAAAATTAAGTGGGTGCCAAGGAGAGGCAGGAAGAGAAAACCAAATCCAGAACTGATCTCCAATTGCACTGCCTTCTATAGCAGAAATATAATGCCAAATAAAAATATAAAAATATACATATACATATACATACATATATACAAATAAATATGTATATCCACTGAAAATAAATTCATCATACAGTTTTCATTTTCACAAATAAAATTTCTTAAGCATCTTAATTCTAGTTTAAATAACGATCAGTTTTTTAACAAAATGTAAATAAAATACAAACTCACAGCTGCCCTGCAGCCCACCCAAGAGCAGGGCGTGGCACGGCCAATTGTCACACCATTGCACACGCACACCTCGCACACACACACACACACACACATACACAATGGCCAGTCCAGGTTGCAGTTTGCAGGTTGCCATTGTTTGTCTGATTGACGAAATGCAAACGAAAATGTGTCGAAATGGGACTAAGCAAATGCGACGATGATGCGAGTGCGATGGAGTGGAGTGGGGGGTGGCGGCAGGTAGGAGCAAGGGGAAGGAGAGCCCATAAAGAGATGCCAAGGAGAAAGAAGGAGATAGCGAGGGCGAGAAGCAGAGTGATAAACATTGAGGTGCGATTTCCGTGCGCCGCCGTTTTCACCGGAGTTTTGGAGTGCAGCGAAAAAAAAAAAAAAAAAAAAAAAAAAAAAGAGGAGGGGAGAAATACTAGGAGGTGTAGAAGTAGAAGGCGGGGGACGAGGTGCCGGCGAAGGTGTAAATACAAATAAGCGGAGGTGATATCTCAGAACTTCCTTTTCACACATTCGAGAGAGGTAGAGAGAGAGAGCACCCTACACAAATACAAACACAAATACAGTGTAGCCTGCATAGCTTACGCACACACAGGCACACACAGCCACCAGTGTAGACAACTTTGGATATATCGTCGCCAAAATGTATCTTTTTGTATAAGATTAGCTTTATTACACAAAAAAAAAAACTTGATAATATAATAAATTAGGCCGTTAAGTCTATATTCATTCAAATAAAACTATTAATTAGGTACTTCACATTTTGAAAGTGCTTCTAAAGTAATTTTAGTTTTAAAAACTAAGCTTTATTTTTGGTTAAACCTGGCAACACTGAAACGGCACTTGCATTTTATTGTTGCTGCTTTCCGGCGATGCGCGGGCAGAGAAGTTGGCGGCGCTGCAGGCGGCAAATCATGAAAGCAGCAGCAGCAGCAACAACAAATGAAGCAAATACCAATGCAGCAGGAGCAGATGAAGAAGAAGAAGAAAAAGGAGTAGGAGAAGCAGCGGCCGAAGGTGAGGGAGATCGAGTGAGAGGGGCGCAGGAGCCAAAGGCAAAGCCAAAAGAAATGCGTTTCTTTTATTTTTGACGCGTCTTAGATTCTACCTTCCTCTTCCTCTGCTGTTGCTGCTTCATCTTCTTCTTTCCTTTCCTTGTTTTTTTTTTGTTTTTGTTGTTTTTTTTTTTTTGATTTCTTGGAATCGCATCTACTTTGAACCTTCCACGTTCCGACTGAAAACGGGGAGGAGAAAAGAACGATAGGAAAACTGAAAAACTCCGAGAGGCGACGCGGCTGCATTGTATATTTGAATTTCATTTCAATTTAAATACGATTTTCTATGAAAATGCACGCACCACAAACACTACGTGCAATCGTTATCCGCCCGCTCCCCCGCCTCCTTTTTTTAGCACTCCTCCTCCTCTTCTTTCACGATGAAGAAGAATCTGAAGAAATTGATCATGGTTTTCAAGGCATTTTTCTGTATGATTTGAAAAAAAAAGATGTAAAATTATTCTCCATTCGATTTGTCGGAAGACAAAAAAGATCAGTAAAAAGATTAAAGGGAATTCCTATATGGATGTTTATATGATTGAAAGTTTACAATTAGGAGGAGCCCTTTAAAAAAATGCGAACGAAAGACATTTATATTAATAATTATTATCCAAAGGAAATCCATAAAGAGCTTATTGGGGTTGAGGTTATTAAAGCATTAATAACTAAAAAAATAAAATAAATTTTAAAAAATAATAAATAATATATAAATAATATAATAGATATAAACAAATTTTTTACTCTCTCCTTAAATAAGGAGTATTACAGTGAGCTTGCTTTTTAACTTGCTAAATCCGAAGGATCCCTAAGTTCCCTAGATCCTGCCAGAGGGAAAGCGGAACCCCGAGTTTCAAATGTCAGAGGATTGCCTTGGCCTGGCCCACTTAAGCCAGGCGTGCTGCTGAGCAAGAGTCCTGATATGAGTCCTGATGGCCCCGATAGTCCCTAGGGTTTGGTACCTTGCACCAAGGACGCCTTGTTGCCGAGAACATGTGACCTTTGGGAAAATACGTGTCTACGTACCGGTGCTCCGTGTCCATCTTTGCTTGCTCAATTGTTTTTAGAGTCCTCCTCAAATCTCTCACCTTTTCGAATGGGAAATTCCTTGGATCATCGGCGAGGTTGCCGTGCCAAGCATGCAAATACAAATTTCACACCTCACCGAGGGAGAGAGATCTGGCCAGAGAACACCTGGGAAATACCCAACCTGCATCGGGCACAGAAGGAACATATGGACAAGGAAAAAAAAAACAGAAGAAAACTCTCTGAATGGAAACAGAGCCCGAAGAAGTGCCCGAAGTGCAGTCCCTCACAATATAATTCCTAAATCCCAGCCGCAGGTATTTAGTTCCGCCTTTTGTCCGTCTCTGGAATTCCCAAATGCTATTATTGCACCTAAGCCGTGGCATCATGGAGTGGGAGTTTCTCTATTGCAGTTGCAACTTGTTGGCCCTATCTATCTCTTTTCCTCACTGCGGCATTGTGTGTGTGTGTTACCATCTCCCTCTGCATCGTGTGTGCTGTCTCTCTCCCTCTTTCTCTTGTCGCCGGCGCCGCAGGTCAGGCGATCAGCAAAAGGACAGAATCCTAGGTTTTTTGGGGGCTTTGTGGAGACTTAAGTGGAGACTTTTAACTAATTTATCACTAATTTAATTTTATTTCCAATTTAGTTGCATTTCTAAGGTTTTTTCTTCGATACTATTTTTTCTATTAATATAATATAATAAATAATTAAACAATATTTTTCATATTTAATAATAATTATAGGAAGATATTTTTAGCTTTTTTACAAAGTTTTTTTTTGTAAATTTTATACAGTAAAGAAAACTAAAAATAGTGAAGTAGTCAAAATAGCAAAAATCATCATCAATATTGTATTGATACTTTTTCTATACATTTTTTTTAAAGGTACTAATAGTAAATATAAAATATTATAATAATATAATATTTTTTTAAGCTTATTTTAGGATCAATTTCTTTAAGTTACTAATAATATAAAAAAAATGTATAAAACATTTAATAGATCTCATTTTTAATGGCATATTTCCCCGATTGCTGTTACTTCTCCAAATGTTTTTATAGTTGCCCGGAAAAAAAATCATTTTCCAGACAAAAAGAATATGCATTTTTCATTCCATTTCGAGTTTGAATGGACCAACCTGATCGGTGCTGCTCCCTCTGGGCCATGGCCAAGAGACCAAGAGACCTGCCTGCCTGCTGCTACGGATCCGATACGATCCGTTCCGATCCGCTCCGGGTTCGCTTTTCCACCCCGGGGGCATTGTTTTCCACCTCTCCTCTCTATATATATTTTTTCCTTTCTTTGGTTCTATATATATATTTTTTTTGTCTGGACAAAAGAGGGACATTGATGAATTGAAGAATGAGTGCCGCAGGGCGGATTTTTCGGCTCTTGGCTTGGCTCGTTTGTGTTATTCAATAGAAAAATAAATAAGTCAGAGCGAAGGGAGAGGGAAGAGCAGGGGAGGGTTATAGACAAGCACTTGGCCATGCCAGACTGACTGGCACCTTTTTCCCTAATTTCCAAGAGACGCTGCGTCTGGCCGCGTCAGACAAAAGGTCTTTCTACAGTTTTCATACATTTTTCTAGGTTCTATTTCTCTGTTCTTTTTCTATGTTTGAAGTAGCAGAAGAAGAGTAAAGGTAACTCACCCGCTTTGCGCACAGGTGTCGATAATTCGGCCATCAGATCGGCCAGACTCTTTTTGTGTCCACCCTCGCCGATCGGCGATATCAATTTCTGCGTGTACGTAAAGTCCTGCGGCAAAAAAAAAAAAGAAAGAGAAATCCATTAATCTTTGAAACCAAACTGACGGCATATCCTTACATCGTCCGTATAGAGCCGCAGGGGAATGTTCTTGAAGGACTCCTGGTCGGCATAGGGCTCCATCAGTCTCCGATTGACGGCCCAAAACTGATCGAACTTGTCATTGACCAGGCCCAGCCACAGTTGATTGTGATCCTTTTTCTGCATGGCCGAAATGACCAGGCCGCGATGCTTCAGGACATCTGCCTCTTTCAGGCAGGACATGTAATGGGATTCCAGCAGTTCCCTGAAAGGGTTTATCAATGGAAAAGTTATAGGTTAAGAAAGTTTGGAAAAACCTTTGAAATATGAAGAAAAACTAGACATTCTCTTAAATTTTATTTTCGGTTCAACACGATTTTGCTTCTCTAATTAACTTAATTCAGGCTCCAACATGTTTAATCCTTTATGAAAATGAAACAGGCCTTATATATAGGACACTTGCTAGCCAGGACTTCAGCTGGTTTTAATATAAAATGTATAAATAAAATAAAATGTATAAAACATAATCAAAAAATTATATAATTTAACCTTTTTAAAAGCTGTTCCTAAGAAAATGTTCTTAAATAAACTAAATGTTTCAACTAAAAACGCAAAACAGGTGATTTTCTTAACCTTAAACAATAAGATAAGATACTATAAATATTTAAAAAAAATTAAAGCTTTAACTAACTTTTCCTAATAAAAATCCCATATAAAAGCGAAACTATTTTTATCTAGAATCTGGATCTGTTGGATAAATACTTGGAATTGAGCTTGACGAGCGTGTCCTCGGGGAACTTGGAGTAGTGTATGGTAAGGCACCAGGGTGTGCTGTCCTCCTCCGGATGCAGCAGGTCATACAGGACACCTGCACAGGGAAAGAGTGCAATAAATAATAATTAAACAATTAGAAACACCCTCCAATTGGAGTCATAAGACAGTCTTCCCCACCAATTGGATAATGTAGGCGCAGGGGCGTTCCATTAAAGTCAAACCACACGGCGCCATCCTGATGCTCGGCAGTTATATAGCGGGAAAAGTACTTGCGAACCTGCAAAACATAGCAAATATAACGTTTTATATATTATTTGTACTTTTTTGGAGTGCATTGTTTACCTTGTCAGTGACCAGGGGCAAGTAGCTGAGTCGCGATATCATCAAATAGAAGGGCTCCGGTTTGATGCCAACGATCTCGTCGCGGTCCGCCTGGAAGCAGATGCCTATCTGGCCCTCCCAGATCATACGCAACACCTCGCGGTCGTGGGCCATGCTTGCAGTTTTTGCTTAAATTTCTTTTCTCTTTATTTTTTGCACAATACGTTTTGGTAATAGTGATGGCACTGGCTGTTATCGATTGGCATTCCAATTGGGTGCGACTGCTATGTTTGCCATCTATCGGAAGGTTGCCGTCTAGGGTTGTTTAGCAATGTCCCAACCTTCCTTTCCATAAATGTTTTTGATTAATTATTTTATAACGACACATTGCTTCACATACGTAATTTAAAAAAGTTCTTTTTCATCTTGATTATTTATTTACCCCTTTTAAAATACTTTTCTGTGTTTTGTCGTGTTCTGTTTTGTTTAGCCAAGTTCTCCACTTTTTGATCCGGTTTTATCTCTTTAAAACCATTCCGATAGTCAGAGCCAAACAAGTTGATCGTATCGATCATGCTATCGATAGTGCCATCGATAATTCAGCGATAAAATAAATAAAGTCGACGTGCCTCTGCTCGTTTTTTTTTTGTTAATGCTTTTTTTGTGCTGCGGCTGCGCTTTTAAATCTTCGCGTTTGCCGTGCGATGCAAATATGACCGGCGATCGCCTGGCCAGTGGAAAATACAACGCGAAACGATCGGAAACTGTGAAAAACGGATGATAAAAGCGAAACTCCAGAAATTGCCAGCAACTGCAGCAGCAACAACAATAAAAACTCGGAGTCGGAGGCGCATTGTGTGAGAGAGAAGAGGCTAGACGAGATCGCATAAGGAGAGGCCGAGACCGAGTGAGAGAAGGAACGAAGGCGAAGGAGGTGGAGGAGGAGGAGGAGTGGAGCACAGAATGGATGTTGAAATACCTGTTTTGGCTGGATATCTTAATGTGCCGACCCAAACTGGATTTTCGCTAAATCGCATCTCGAAAAAGGTATGGAAAATTGCCAAAAAAAAAAACAATAAGAAAAACAAACCTGTGTTTTCTGTATTTCGTTTAGAAGTTTTCTCGAGATTTGTTTCTTTTGAAGTTCTCGATTTTGCAACGAATTTTGATATATTCTTTAAGTGCGTAGTAATTTTTCGATAAACAGGACTTACAGGCTATTTTGTGAGTGTGTGCGTCGTGCCTGGTACTTGTTGCATACAAATGAAGTCTCCTCTGCGAGTGGGAGTGAGAAAGGGAGGCAGCATGAGCGAAAGAGAACACTCTAACAAGAGAGCGAGAGCAAGATCGCGCGCGACACACGACAGTTATGGTCAAGAAATTAGCATCAAAGATGCGCATAATAAATTATTTTTTTTTCTTATCAAATATTTTTTGCAATTATAGGAATTTTTAATTTTTAATTACAAAAACATATGAATAATTTAATACTTAAAGTTACTACTTTTTTGACCACAATTATATCTGAGCTTCAAACGAAACACACACATCACACGCACAGCTGGGCGATTCATGGAGGCTTCATGGCTTCATGTTTATGTGCGGACAGGAAATTCTTGAGCCAGCGAAAAGAGTGAGAGCAAAATGGGCTCAAAAGAGGGATAAAGAAAGGGGCGAGCTGAAAGAGTCAAGTAACGAAAGGATTCTGATTATAACAGATGTCCTTTAGGATATGAAACCGAACATTAATTCCAATTCGAAGAGCTTTTTCTATTAAGTTTAAAAATTACATAAAATATATTTATTAATTAATAAAAATATCCTCTTTGCAGAAAGCATGCAATCGGTACTGTTTGCTGTTCAAGGCCAGCCGTCATGGCATCGCCCGTCTGGAGATGTGCGAGAGCAAGGAAGATCGCAATCCCAAGATCTTCACCCTTGAGAACTGTGTTAAGATCACCCAGGAGCCGCCGCCCGACCGCCTCATCCACATTGTGAAGCGTCATGGCACATTAACCCTGAGCACGAGCAGCGAGGAGGAGCTCAAGGATTGGATCACCGCCCTGCAGACCGTTGCCTTTTGTGACACCTCGCCATCGGGCGGCATTGGCGGGGCCATTGAGGAGGACAATGACCTCTATTGCAGCTCCTTTGTGAGTGATGATTTCACTTTATATATACATTTTACTGGCGCGTGTCGATTTTGGGGTTAACACTTGCTAATTCTTTAATTATCAACTTTTTCAAAGGATTAACGATTAATTTTAATATTTATAATCATGTTTTTGGGTTGATTTTAGGACAAATGTTTATTTATCGGGCTTAATATAATATAAATAATAATATTAATAATAATAACTAATAAATCTATATTATTATCACTGCAGGATGGCCTCTTCATCATCACACTCATCCCCTCGGAGGCCTCCATTCGTTGCAACATCGAACCCAAGACGTACATGCTCCAAATGACGCCTACGGAATTGCAACTTAAATCAGAGGATTTGGGCGCAACAGTGGCCATGTGGCCGTATCGCTTCATCCGCAAGTATGGCTATCGAGATGGCAAGTTCACATTTGAGGCGGGCCGTAAATGCACCACCGGCGAGGGTGTCTTCACCTTGGATCACACCAATCCGCAGGATGTCTTTCGCTGCATGTCCGCCAAGATGAAGTCGATGAAGAAACTGATTAGCGGCGACAGCAGCACCCTGAGCACACTGGAGTGCAATGAGAATCAGTTTAGTGCAGCGGCTGGCATGGAACCGGGCTCAAGGAGCCCCCTGCCACCGTCACCCTCGAGCAATCCACACGGGAGCGTTGGCGGCGGAGAGTTTGAGATCAATTCCACACAAAGTTGCATCTCTTTGAGGGGATTTATCAGTTCGAATGATTCGCTGAATAATTTCTCTGGAGGAACATTATCCTCAACAACGGCGGGCACAGCTTCGGCTCCCTCTGCACCTGGTTCTGTCGTCACACTATCCGTACCGCACAGCATTCCCAAGAAGCCGCCTCGAAATTTAATGGGAGTAAGCCCAACAACAACAACAACACCCCAACATTGTGATAAATACAGGAACATGGTCAAATATGAGCCTGTGGCCATAACAACATCCTCCGCCGCCGCCACCAACACCAGCGATAACAACAGTTCGGTGATACTCAAGCCACACATCGACAAGGATGTGTCTGGGCCGGATTTACCGCCCGATCTGCCGCTGCGCAATGAGAGCAAGGAGGCAGCGCCGCCCCCAGAGCGGGATTACGAGTGTATTGAGAATATAACAGAGGCGTGGCGTACCCGAGGCGTTGGTGATGTCCGGCATTGCGAACGTATGCCCATACTGTGCGATACCACGGAGTTTGTCCGCCAGCGCTCGATCACCAGCAGCGGCACGCCCAAAATCATAGATATCGATATTGGCGAGGGTATAGGCAATGATGCCGTCGTTGCCAACGCCTCCTCCGATGGCAACTATGATCGTTTGGACTTTCTGTCGCCAAACAACAAGACCTCCAGTGGCTACAAGACCATTGTGAATGTGACTCTGCCTGGGAATCGGATACGTTGCAGTCCGCCGCCGCCAAACGAATACGAACTGATTGCCAGTCCCGATACGGAGAGCTTTCGCAAAGCCGACGACAGTCATCTGGGCTATGGGGTACTCCGAAAGTCCACTGGCACGGTCAATAACAATAACAACAACAATCTGGGAATCTCCAATAGCAACATGGAATCAGCGACAACAACGGGAACGGGCATGGGAATGGGAACGGGAACGGGAGGTACGTCGGCCATTGATCATCGCAGCTATAATGGCCTCAACTACACGATTGTCAGCAAGCCGAAGCGAGTGTAAGGTAACGATGGGACTGGGAACGGGGACTGAAAGTGAAAATGTTAAGGAAACTTAAGCTAGAAGGGGTGCAGTCTGTGTGTGGAAAGAAGATTCCGAACTATAGCTGTTTTCAATTCCAATTTAAAGCCATTAAAGCATTGAATATCGTAAAGAAAGCAAGGGTAAAATTCCGAAATGATATATTCTCAAAAATATATATAAATATATCAATATCCTATCAAAAAATTATGGTAAATTTGAATATTTGAAATTTTTAAATATGAAAATAATTTAAATTTTAATACAAAATTATTAAAAAATATCAGAAAATTGGTATTTTTATATGTCATAATTATCTTGTCTCTTTTTTCCGATTTTGTAGGCTCAGTATATGTATATCAAACAGAATATCACAAATATCGCCATGTTAAAATGTTAATTTATATATACAGTATTGATATATATCTATATTTTGTGCCATCCCATTTACTATATATATTTTGTTAAAACTTCTGAAGCAGAAACCTAGAGTTTCTACTTTTAAGCAAGTTCTTGAGCAAAACTTTACTTAAAATTCCTTATTTTCAACAATTAAAAACCGAAAAGACTACAGAAATACACTAAAGTAAAGGCACTAAACCCTTAAATTCCAATTTAATAAATTTTTAAAAATGTATTAAATATTTGAGATAAACTACAAAGATTTCTAAATGATTTTTAGAATACAATTCGATATATTTTGTCTTGAAAACCCAACCTTTTTTTATATATTTCAATATGGGAAACAGCAAAACAACAAGTTTTTACCAGTAAAATGCATTTAAATAATAAGCAAGAAAAGCAGAGACTGCCCAGGTGCCTTACAAAAAATAAGCAAATAAAAATGAAAGACGATGGCGGGCAATACTTTCACAGAATCTCGCACAAAAATATTCGAATACAGCCCCCGCCAGCCATTCAAATCGTGTTGTTTTTATTTATATCTTTTGTTTATCTTTTCTCTGTTAAATTAAACTGTGATTATTATATAGAATTGTTAAATTTTGTAGCCAGCACAGACACTGCCACCGCCACTTGCACTCGAGGAGATCCTCAGAAATGAAAAGAACTCACAAATTTAAACACGAAATGTGTGTATTTAATTTGTATTTAAAATATATATGTGTGTTTTTGTATATTTTAAAAATGCAACCTTAAAATTTGTAATTATTTCCCGATTTAATCATCCATCCATAAGGTATTTCGCTGCCATATCTCGAATTGTTATTCCTATACGATAAATCGTATATATACCTATATAGCTGCCATAGGAACAACATTTTAATGCCATATACACCCCGAAAAATCTCCCAAAAACAGTTCTTTTTATCAATAGAGACTGTAAATATAGGTGTTTTTTGTGTTTTTTTTTTAAGTGCTGTGGAACTTCAAGACCCCAAGACCCCTTTAGTCCCCGTGCACGTTCCAAGTTCTCAAAGCCAGGATCCGTTGAAATAACCACAATATTTTTATTTTGGGTATTATGCAAAAGGTCACAAAAAAAAAACGAAACGAAATAAAAATAAATAAGAAGACAAAAAAAATACCAAAATAAAAATTGTGACGCACATTTTACTTGAAAATAACATAATTTTTTTTTACTTACTTTACGTTTACGATTATGTCTATTGTATAATTATTATCTTTTGTGTCTGCAAACCTATTATTGTGTAAATAAAGACCCACAAAAAGATCCAACGAAACGAAGTTAAATAGTTTTTATTTTGTTTGACAATAAGCTTTGCCTGCACTATACAAGCAAGGTCATAAATCTCTTCCTAAAACAGTGTGCCTTGAATAAGTAGGCATAATCGTTTTATCGTTTTGGCTTTTCAAACGGAATAGCCACCGGAAAATCGTAGTTAAGTTCTGCTCTCCGTCTCTTCCACTCACTCATACTACTACACCAGTGTAAATAAATTGGGAAAATAATAAGAAAATAATAATAATAATAAAACTAAAGAAAAAATGATCTTGCTTCGCCGTTGCCAACACCTGCGCCTGCGTCCTTGGGTTCGCCTCTGCTCGGCCGAACTGATACATAAGGTGAGTGTTTAGTATATATCCCAAGGATAATGGCTTTATTAATGATGTGTTAACCGCAGGATGGCTTCATCGAGAAGCTGCGACACAGCTTCGAGGAGGATGTACGCAGCAACCTGGTGGTGCCTACATATAAAAGGGCCATGCTCTATCCGGATGAGATTGCCGTGAAGGATATCAATGGGGAGTACACTTACTTCCAGCTGTATTTGGTAGCCAAGCGTCTGGCCATACAGATTTCCAATATATGTGGTGAGTTGTGAAATTTAAAATTCAGTACTAAATGTAATCTTTATAAACTTTATATATGATCCTATATAAAATATCAATAATACATATGAATATATTCCCTTACTTTCTTGGGTTCTATTCTCACCATATACCAAAATTCACATATATTATCGGCTTAGGAAAATTGTATTATCTATACATTTTTATATCTAATCATTTTGTGACTTGGCGTGATCCTTTCTTAGACCCTTATCTCCTCCTATACCAAAATTCACATCGATTGGACTGCATTTTGTAGTAAAATATTATATTATAATAATTAAATTAATAATTAATTATAAACTCCATTCTCACAGGCAGTGCCTCGCTCTCGAATGTGGCTTACCTTTGCTCGAGCAATGCCCTGTGGATAGCCATCCAATGGAGCTGCTGGATCTCTGGCCAGGTGGCTGTGCCTCTGGAATGTGGACAACCCATCGAGCAGCTGCGTCGCCAGGCCACGGGCTGCAAGGCCAAGCTGCTGATAGCCACGCCCGAATTTGAAGAAATGGCCCATGAAATCTCACTGGGCCTGCAGTCGGCCACCATAGTGCTGAATCACAGCTTTGTGCCGTCGGCGGAGAGTGTGTCCTCCACCTCGATGTATGTGAAGCAGCTGGTGAGCACCCAGGGTGACCTGCTCACCGAGAGCACGCTGCCGAGTGACTTTTATGCCGGGGCACCGGCCATGCTGGTCCACACACCGAATGCAGTAAATAAACCGAAGCCGGTGCTGCTCTCCCATCGCAATATCGATGCCCATGTCCGTTGCCTCATCGACAGTTGGCGCCTGTCGCCCTCGGACTGCCTGTTGCCCATTCTCTCGATGAATCGCATGAATGCCGCCGTCGGAGCGGTGCTCAATGTGGGCGGCACAGTCATTCTGCAGCAGAAATTCGATGGCCATAATGCCTGGAGCGCTTTGTTGGGCATCAATAGTCCCACCAAGCAGCGGGTCACCCTCTTCCTGGCCATGCCCATTGTGTACAAGCGTCTAATTGCGGAATACGACAAGATGTTCGCCAAGGACTCGCGGATGGTGGACTACATTTTGAATCATTGCCGCCAGAGGATTCGTCTGATGGCCACCGCCTATGCCCTGCTGCCGGATTCGGTGTTCCAGCGCTGGCGCCAGATTACGGGTCAGAATATCTACGAGTACTATGGCATGGTGGAGACGGGCCTGGTGTTGGGTCATCCCCTGGATGAGCAGATGAGCGCCAGTAATAATGCCGCCACCACACCACCCTCAACACCCACACAGACTTCGGCTGCGAGTCAGAGTTCAAATCCCGGCAAGATGGACTATCGCCCCGGCACTTTGGGTGCTCCACTGAAGGGCGTGACCGCCCGATTGATCAGCAGCAAGGGCACCGAGCTGATCACCTGCAAGAATGAGCTGGGCGGCAATGTGGATCATGGCCTCATCCAGTCGGATATGGATTTGGGCAGCGATACGCCGCTCTCGCAGACTGTCATCGGTGAGCTTCAGATAGCCAAGTCCGATTTGGTGTCCAGCTCCCTGGGCGGCGGCATCAGTGGCCGGCAAATAAATCCGGAGGCAATTGGCTGTAAAATGGAGGAGACACCCGATGGCTTCGTCAAGACGGGCGACATTTGTGCCTATCAGAATGGCAACTTTTATTTCCTGAGCAAGATCAGCGATGTCTTCACCGTCGGTGGCTACAAGGTTTATGGTTCGGAGATCAAGAAGGTTCTGATCTCGCATCCATCCATCAACGATGTGGCCGTCTTGGGAATACCCAACAAGGTGTGGGGCCATCGCCTCGGAGTCATTTGCATTGTCTCCCCGGATGCTGATATCGATCTGGATGCCATCAAGACCTATTGCTATCGCCATTTGCCGGCCCACAAGTGCCCCACGGTCTTCAAGACCCTCATTTCCAAGTAGGAAAATGGAAAATCCTTAAACAAATCCTTAAACATAGCCCTCCCATGGACCATGTCCGCCTTGTCTGGGCCACAACAAATTCATGTGAGATTTCATGCGACATTCGTTTTGTAACATAATAAAAAATGTTCATTTTACAATCAAATTATCTTTGCAGACTATTTTTTCTTATATTATTTTAGTTATATTTTGTATATTTTATGTCCTTGTGTATTATTTGTATTAATTATTAATGAGTCTACCCCCTTAAGAACTATATGTGCTAGAGAGAGATGACAGATGAACTCATTTGAAAATTAGTGCCGTTAAATAAATCGATGAACGCGATAGTTCGCTTATCGATTTAATCGAACTGCCACTTAATAAATAATAAATATTTTTAAATGTTTTAGATTTATTTATTTAAATAAATGTGTTTTCCTTTTTTCTGCACAAAGATAAAGAGAGACAAAAGGGGCAACTTGCCTCTCTCCTTCGCCCAGTCTCTCGGCAAGTGTTGGAAAACACTTTTCGGCCTGTCAGCTGAACGATAGTATCGATAACAACCGTGGTTTTGACAGCTCTCCAGCTCCTCTTCGTTGACAGCCCTTCCGTTTTCTGTTCTTTTTCTTCGTGGTTTTCGACTGACAAGATGGCTCCAACCGTAAGTCCGCGGAAAATCGTAAATGTTTCGGCCCATCCCCCGTCCAGCGAGTGCCTTAGTAGAAAAATATAAACCGGCAAACTAACGTTTAAACACTGGCGATGGAATCGCGGCGAGACAAAACGTGAAAGTGCCTGTAAAAACGAAATTTGATTTGTGTTTTTTTTCTGTTATGTGATTTTAGGCCAAGACCAACAAGGGTGATTCCAAGACGGCCGCCAAGCCGGCCGAAAAGAAGGCCGCTCCTGCCGCCGCCGCCGCCAAGGGCAAGGTGGAGAAGCCCAAGGCTGAGGCCGCCAAGCCCGCCGCCGCCGCTGCCGCCAAGAATGTGAAGAAGGCACCGGAGGCCGCCAAAGCAGCCGCCGCTGCTGCCGCCAAGCCTGCAGCTGCCAAGCCAGCGGCCGCCAAGCCCGCTGCTGCTGCTGCCGGCAAGAAGGCCCCAGCTGCTGCTGCCCCGAAGAAGGACGCCAAGGCTGCCCCAGCTCCGGCTGCTGCTGCCAAGGCTGCTCCGGCCAAGAAGGCTGCCTCCACCCCGGCTGCCGCTCCTCCGGCCAAGAAGGCTGCTCCCGCCAAGGCTGCCCCAGCTGCTGCTGCTGCTCCGGCTGCTGCCGCTGCCCCAGCTGCCGCTCCCGCTGCCAAGCCGGCACCCAAGCCCAAGGCCAAGGCTGCCCCCGCTCCCAGCAAGGTGGTCAAGAAGAACGTGCTGCGCGGCAAGGGCCAGAAGAAGAAGAAGGTCGCCCTGCGCTTCACCATCGACTGCACCAACATTGCTGAGGACAGCATCATGGATGTGGCCGATTTCGTAAGTAGACAAAGCAGAAGAGCAGAGAGCTCCTTCGCCCCGGCATCCGTTTCTACCGCACCAAGCTTTCCATTGCCCCCAAAGTTAGCCAGGGACTCTGGATAAAAAGTTGTGGTTACAGCGAAGCCTCACATCCATTAAGCGATAAACTGCTCGCGGACTCTTGCCGTGCCGCCTGCGGTTAACAACTTCTGGAACAGATTATCTTGGCTTTTAAAGTATCTCTAGAATCATTAGAATCTCTCCGTCGTCCGATCTATATATAAAAAACCGTATTTCTTCGCTGCCTTATCAACTGGGCACACGCGTTTCCGACAAGGGGCTCTGGGCACTGCACAACGGGGTAGCCATTGACCGCCAGTGACCTGGCACTGGCCAGTGGTGCAACCGTCTGTGAACAGCGTCAAGCCGTGCTATGTGTACCGCCACGTGGTGGGCCCTGGGATTGAGTTGCGTCCACAACCGTGCGTCGCCTCAGGCCAAAATTCATAGTGCGCCCTGCTCATAAGGGTGTCCAAGCGTCGTGACACCTGCAGGTTTTCCCAACTTTAGCAGGACTTCAAGATTGGAGGATTAGTTTCTCCCCAGTATATCTTCCCTTCCTTGAGACACACACAGACACACCCGCTAAGTGGGCAAACCGAGAGCGCTAAACGCGTCAAGAATTTAGAGCAGGGCGCCAGATGGAAACGTCGCCCCTACTACCAAGTGGATCAGGTAACTACTCTTTAACTAGGTTTAACTAGGGAGCAAAAGTGTGATATGATGTGTCGACAAGTCTATCGCGCTCAATATCACATCGAAAATCATAAAACTTCGATATATCGAAACTTTCAATATCGAAAAAGGTCGAATTTAATGTTTAAAAATATTATTAATTTTGAAATACGGAATCTTTAAATATAGGAAAATATCGAATTGAATTTTAAATTAATATTGATATCAAAAAGGTCTTTAATTTCGGAATATGGAAACATAAAATATTGGAAAATATCGAATTGAATTTTAAATTAAAAATAATATAAAAAAGATTATACATTTTTTAACATCAAAACTTAATACATCGGAAAATATAGAATTTTATTTTAAATTTATATTCATGTTAAAATGATAATAAATTTTTGAATTTGAAAATTTAAGATATCGATTTTAATTTAATTCATATCAAAAGGATCATCAATTTTGAAACTTAAAATATCTGAAAATATTTCTTAACATTAAAATATTTAAGTTATCCTTTTTCGATTATATTGTTTTTGATAAATCACAGAAAATATCGTTTTATCGCACATATGTATGTCGCAGCGTTCAGAAATCGTTTTATGTATCGAATTTAGCTTCTGATATCAATATATGGAGATATCTCGATATTTTCTAGGACCTAAAATCACTGCCAAATCTCTATATATTTAGGCCACGCCGATTTGCCGTCAGAGAGTGAGCTTGAAGCGTCGCTCTGATGGCAGTGTACTCAGTGGCACATTAAAAAATTGGTCACTCTTCTTTATTTGGGCCTTCTGTTCTCTACTCACTCGACTCTTGGCCTTAACAAAGACGGAGACATTCAAAAAAATTTAAATGCTTCTGAAAAAAAAAAACAATTAAAAAACAAAACTAACCAGAAAAACCCTACTGTTCCCCAACTCGCAGGAGAAGTACGTCAAGGCCCGCCTTAAGGTCAACGGCAAGGTGAACAACCTGGGCAACAATGTCACCTTTGAGCGCTCCAAGCTCAAGCTGCACGTCAGCTCCGATGTGCACTTCTCCAAGGCCTACCTGAAGTACCTCACAAAGAAGTACTTGAAGAAGAACAGCCTGCGCGACTGGATCCGTGTGGTGGCCAACGAGAAGGACTCGTACGAGCTGCGTTACTTCAGGATCAGCTCCAACGACGACGAGGACGACGATGCCGAGTAAACACAGCACACCAAACTCTCACGTTTACAATGATCCTGTATTGCCTGATTCGTTTTTATTAAATAATCTCACGACTCTGAAAGAGGAGCTCGTGTTTTTACACCCGCAAAACAACAAGTTGTGAACTCTGGAACAAGAAAACCCTTGGGGGGGTTTTTAGCGCCGCCAAATAAAAACCAATGGGGTGTGATTCTCCCCGAGAAAAATTTTGGTTGTTATCAATTGTGGGTTTCTCAAAGGGTTTCTTTATGTTATAGTTTTTAAAACAACTTTGATTATGCAAAAGATTGTCAGCACAGGGAGGGATATGTATTTCTGTCTGCTTTAAGTCTGCTTTTTAAATACCCTGTAAAAGCTTTCTTGCTCTAAATGATTCACTAATGGGCAAAAAAAAAGCTAAACCCACACGCTATCTTTGTCTATCTCGCTCTATTTGGTGTTTGTTTATTTTTCCTTTGTGTCTTTCGTATAGTTTTTCTTTTTCTGTCTTTCGTATCTATTTTTTTATATAATTTTTTTTGCCATTGCCAAGTATTTGGTGAAAGTTTTTGAATGCCCTTGAAGAGAGCATAACCATTAAAGGCACAAGCTTGTTTATTTGTTTATGTTTTTAATCTACCAATGAAAGGGAATTTATTTTTAATATTCCAAATGAGGGATTTTTTTTAATATTGCAATGAGTTATTTTTTGTATTTATTTATACAACCTAAAGTAAATATTGTTTTGTATTTTACAGAAAGAAAAGCCTCGCTCTTATATGTACAAATGCAAAACCCACACAAGGTGAGTACAAAAAAACCTTTGAGGGTATTATAAATATAGTTAGATGCTTGCAATGCAGTGTAGGAGTCATTTCCGAACCTATAAAGAATATATATTCTTGATCATCGCAAAATTGCAAATCGTTTTATCCATTTTCGGAGGAAAACAAAATTTGAATTTTTTTTGTTCGATCGTTAAAATTATCAAAAATTAATTATAAATTTGAATTTTTTTAAATATTAAATTTAGTATGCAGAATTGTTAACCCAATAAAAACAAACATAGAGCAGTTTTCCGAATTAAAAAATAAAATTGAAAATTCAGATTAAATAAATAAAAAAAATCATGTACAAATATATTTACTTTTTTATATAAAGTCCAAATAATTCACTTATTTTGGTTTTTTTTTGTAGCATAAAAAGACCGAAAAGCTATAGCAAAAAATAGTAAATTGATTTGCCTATTTTAAAATCTTAATTAATAGGCAATTTAATATTAAAAAAAAAAATAGGAAAAAAAGTTCTAAATCTTTAAAAAATGTATAGGTTGGGAATTATTAAATTCACGTCATTTTTAATTAAAAGTAATTTTTTTAAATTTTATTTAATTTAATTTAAAAAAAAATTAACTATTAACCCACTAAAAACTAACGCCGAAAAGCTCCTTACAGGGCATCTACGATTCGCATAACCCACTGCCTACACAGATGACGTTTGTTAACGAGGTTTCTAAATATTTACGGTTTTCATTTTAATCATAATATCTACATACATGGTCTTTCCGTTTTGTTGTTTATCCCAGTTACGTTGAAAAGGAGAAAACACGCTGTGCTGGCTGGTGACAAGACACCGCCGGTATCAGTCATCAGTCATCAACTCAAAATAATGACCATTATATCTCAGTCATATTCCAAGTACAAACGCTTAACAATGGTGGGCGAGGCGGGAGGGCTCTCTGGGTGTAGGCGAGAAGCTTTTATTTTTCAACAATTTGCAAGTGCAACAAATGGGTTTCAGCTTATAACAATTACACAAAAAAACAAGCTACAATTACGAGTAACAATTCTAGCAAAAATATACACTTTTAGTGAGTGAGAAACTTACATCGTTTTGGGGTTTTTTTTTTGTTCTGTGGGGGAGGGCTATTATTAGTAAATAGTGTATATATAGTTATACATATAGTTAGATATTCGAATGTCTTTCAAGCGCACACTGGGACGAGATTCACATAGTGTTGTGGGGTCCGGTTTCCCCCTTGGATTTCCCATTGCAAACATCACAATTGAAGGCTGAGTGTTGGTTGGGGGAGGGGACAAGAATACTATATATAAAATACGGAATAGGGAATATAGAATATAGAATGGGGGACCTGCTCTGCTCTGGAGAATGGTACGTTACGGCTTAAATTAACAATTTTTTTTTTTTGTCCAATTAGCGCCCTGGAATATCGATCTTGGGCCAAGCGCAAGCACAAACATTCATTCCAAGGCCAAAGCTGGGGGTACAGTTGGTTACAAAGAGGGAGAGGGTTGCTTTAAAAAGGGGTATTCAGGGTTGGAACGTTCCTATTCCCGTTCCCGTTCTCTTTAGTGGCCAGCCAAGCCCCGCTTAACCAGGGAAGTCACTGCCAGCAGCAGCGGCAGCAGCAGCATGCTGCTACCACGCAGTTTTTCCTGACCACTGGTCACCTGGTTCGATTTGACCGAAGCCTGCACTGGAGCTGCCACATCGGGGGCCTGTTGAACCTGCTGGGAGCCCGGCTGTACGGGTGCCATGGGCGCCAGGGGGGCTGGACCCTCGCCAGCTGGTGCCGCTGGTGGCGGCGGTGCCGGATAGCAGGCAATCTTCTCCACCTCCACCATTTTGGTGCTGTCATTGGGATCCGTTTCGTTGATCTTGGTGGGCACGCAAATGATGCCGCCCGCTGGTGGAGGAGCAGCTGCAGCCGCATCCGTTCCGGTTGTGTTTGAGGCCTCCGGATTGAAGGGAGCCATGGGTGCAGGGTGGGCCTCTTGTGTTCCGTTCATTGGTGGAGCTGGCGGAGCAGCAGGTGCTGCTCCAGGAGCCGCTGCCACTCCTGCTGCATTGATCACTGTAGTGCCATCGGTGGCATTCACCGGTACTCCATTGTTGATGATAATAATACGATCCTGGCCAGCTGCGGCGGGCGCTGCAGCGGCAGGTGAAGAACTGCTGCCACCGGAGGGTGTGAGAGCGTGGCCAAGCAGGGCGCCGCCCAAACCACCAGCCAGGAGGCCAGTTCCTATAAAGCAAAAATATTCAAATATTAAGTTTAGGGGGGAGAAATCAATAGAAATTTCCAGAAAAACTCACCGAAGCCCAGGCCGGAGGAGGACTGCTGCGGCGGCGCCGAGTAGTAGGTGGCGCCCGGTGGCAAAGCAGAGCCCGCCTGATAGTAGGTGGCACCCGGCGGTGGAGCAGCAGCGGCCGGATGATAGCCACCAGCCATGGGAACATGTCCAGCCGAGGGATAATAGGTAGCACCAGCGGGCAGGTTTGAGGGATAACCGCCTCCATGTCCGCCCGCTGCGGGATAGTACGTAGCACCGGCTGGTACACCCGAATACTGATTGCCATGATTCTGGGTGGCGGCACCATAACTTGGAGGAGCGGCGCCATAATTGGGAGCATGATAGGCAGGCGGCGCTTCGTGCATATTGGGTCTAGCACCGCCGACGGGATTGGATGCGGAGTAAGCAGGCGGCGGTCCCTGGGGGACATTCCAGCCCGGCTGCGGAGCCGAACCGGTGCCAGCTCCAGCTCCCGCTGCCGCTGGACGATTGGGTTGCGAGTTGTAGTTCGGATAGCTGAGCTTGGCGACATCGGCATGCGAATTGCCACCGGCGGCATGGCCGTTGGTGTTGTAGCTGGGCTGCGTCACATGGCCATAGTTGGAGGAGGAGGACCCCGACGAGGAGGAGGAGGTCTTGCGGTTGCCGTTGCCCTGGTTACGACGGGCATCCACAACATCGCCGCCATGCGTCAGCAGCAAGGCGAACACCGTCCAGGTGACGAAGGCAAGTCCCCGGCTTCTGCCACTGGTGGCCATCATCATCATCATGGGATCCTAAGGCCGTATATTACTCAGACTGGAATATGAAATATAAAAAGCGAACGCAAACAGCGCAAAAACGTTGAGCGTCAATCAGCGATCAAATCAACTGACGTGCATGCTAATTGCACAAACCCGTTTTGCGATGCGCGGCTTTTGTTGCTTTCGCTGCTGGTTCGGTTTTCGGTTTTAATTGTTGTTGCTGCTAGCCGTTAGCCCCGCGAGCGTTCGTTGCGTTTAAAAGTTTCGATCGTTAATATTTTTGCCAGTCGGGTTGATAATTTATCAAAATATCGAAATCGCGATTTTTATCTGATATTTGTTGATATTTTCTCCTTGGTCACTCTGAATTTCAAGGTAAAATGTCAAAACAAAGTTTTACATGCTTGGGGTCGAATTCTCATGTAGAATGTAAAATTTAAGTATCAAAATATCAGTATATTTTGCAGAGATATTTTAAATATCATCCTAAAAAATCCACACCTGATAATCGAACCACATGTGATATCGAATAATGTTGCAGCTAGAAACCCGGAGCCATAGCCGCCAGCTTCCGTCTGGCTCTTTTTTGAATTTAAAAACTTCCCACCTCAATTTAAAATACGGTTATTTTTTTGTATACACATTTATTGCAAGTTGGTTTGTTATATTGTAATTTACGTGTATGCCTCGCCACCTGTAACTACCACAACAATGTACGCATATTCCATTTTGCTTAGTTTATGTTTTATGTACGTGAAACGCTCTCTGGTTAAAAAATGTTGTCTGTGTGCGTGAGTGTGAGTGTGTAAATACGATCTGCTGGCAGTCCCACTCGCTCCACCGCCTGGACAGTTGCTTAGTTTTAACTAGATTTACTTAGTTAGAATGAGTTTCTGCCTTAGCGGAGTTTGTAATGCATTAAAAATTGATTCGATTTCGTTTTCGATTCGATTTACTCGCTATGCCTTCTTCTCGTTACTTTGCTAACAAAATGCACTCGTTATATGTGTGTGCGTGTGAGTGTGGCTGTGTGGGCTCGGACCGTGTGACCTTGTGGTTGTCTGAGTGTGTGTTTTGGAGATGTCCGCCCGCATTTATTCGTACTCATAACTTAATAACATTAATAATATTTGAAAAAAAAACATTTCTTGTATACATAAACCATTTTTTTTTGCTTTTAGTATCATTTGTCGTGATTACGCTTATTTTTTGGGTTTAGTTTTAAATTACTAACTACTTATATAATGTAATGTTAACTTGTTTTACTTGTTTTAATTTGTCCGTAAAGGTTTTGTTTTCTCATTCCACCTGTCCTTCTCTCCTCTTCCTTTCTCCTCATGTTCTCGACTCCTTCGGCCTCCCGCTTTCTGTCATTTAGGGTGTTTTTTTTTTTTTTTTTTTTTTGTTTTGTTTTAATTCTAACTGCAAAATTCTCTTTGCCAGTATTCGTTTTAGTTTGTTTTTCTTTTTTGTTAGTACTCGTATAATAAATCTGAACAATTTGTCTTAAAAAATATATACATATACGTAATAATTAACATTTCGCTATGTTCTCCGCCGTGCAATCCATCCGTAACTTGTGTATAAAATATTTTCATTTTCCACTACAAAAAATCACTCTTTTGCAAATAAAACTCAAAAAGTTCCTTTGTTTTCTTTCTTGATTTGCTGTTAACATTGTTTTTGTTGTTTGTTTGTTGTTGTTGTATTTGTTTCGTCCGTCTCATCCGTTGGGTCGTCGAGTGTGGGAGGCGTATAGTTTGGTAGTGGTAGTGTTAGCAGTGTTGTTGTAGTTGTAGTTGTGTTGCTGCTGTCCTGCTCGCTCGCCCGCTCTCTCCCGTTGCCGCTGCCGTTTTGAACGGAAACGGAAATCAGAAGAGTGGAAACAGAACAGAACAGACCGGAACCCATAACGCTTTAAATGAACAGAGATATGGCGTTAACGAAAAAAAAGTCTCAAAGAAGCGCGCACACACACACACATCGTGTGTGTGTATGTGTTTTGTTGTGTAAAATTGCATTTAGTTTTGCTTGTGTTTGTAGTTGGCACACCGACTTAAGATTGTTAGTTAAATTTCCTTTCCTTTTACAATTATACGCTTTGCTTTGGTTTTCGTTTTCATTATAATCTCGTTTTCGTATTCGTTTTCTGAGTATAGTAATCCTCGCTAAACACTTAGAAGACACACACACATAAACAAATGCCAACACAAACGGTTATATTCCTCTCCTCATCCTTCTCTACTATTCCTCCTACTCCTCCTACTCCTCCTACTTCTCCTCAACTCTCCCACCAACTCCAACACTCTGGTTTAGTTCTCATCATTATTTACTTTGGTTTTTGTTATGTAGTTTATGCGTTTAATTGTTTGTTTTAACCTTTGTACATATTTAATTCGATTTCGATTTCGAGTTTACTTTAGTTTCTGTGTGATTTAAGCACGTTTTGCTCGCCACAACAACAATGCAATGCACATTTATAAATATTCTGTTTTATCTCCCTTCCCAATTGAGGCGAGTGGTTTCTTTGTGTGCGTGCGTGTGATTCTCGAGAGAGGCTGTGCTGGGTGAGAGAGAGAGAGACAGAGAGAGAGAAAGTGAGTGTGTTTTGCATTAACCGTTAGGCCACATGCAAGAGAGTGTTCATTTATTTTGGCTTTTGGCTGGGGTTACGGGCGAAGGCGGTGCGGGGTGGCGCGCCCCCCCACCCACTCTCTCTCTCTCTATTTCTCTCTACGGCGAGCAGGCGGCAATGAAAGTGAGTGGAAACAAATGGAAAGCTGGCAAAAATAAACGCATCTCTAGCTAAGCGGGGAAAAAAGGAGCAACTAAAACGGAAGCCTCGAAGGTCGTGTGATTATCTCTCCTAGCGAGAAGAAAATGTATAGCTATAGTGTTCTTATTCTCCCTTCTGTTTACTTCTTTTGTTTTTAGTTGTTGTTAGTTTTTTAGATTTTAGTTTTTAATTATTAGTTTTTATTTAATTATTTTTTTATATATTTTTTTTATATGTTTTTTGTGTTGGCGGCACATAAGCAATTTCCTTATCAAAATCAGAAAAAATATAAGTACATACATACACACATGTATATTCATATGTAAATATTTTTGTTGTTGTTTTCCTTTCGTTTTTTTTCGTTTGTTCTTTAAATGTATATGTATATGTATGTATATGTAGGTGTATATGCAATAACATTTATATCGTCGTAATCATATAGCAAGGTAAATACATATAAATCTGTTAATGTGTATATTTTATAATGGGCGTGGCAGCCTGCGCGTCCCTCGTTTGGGTATGATTTTTTTTGTTTTTGTTTTGTTTTTTTTTCGTAAATATTACTATCCAAAAAAAGACAACAAACAAAACAACGATTACAAACAATCAAACGGATTACATACACATACAGCATCCTCCTGCTTTTCATTTCCGGTTGGGACTGATTATACTCTTCGTTTCGTTCCTCTTTTCTCCTCTCGCTTTTCCTTTTCTTGTTAACGTTTAACAGTTCAATCGCCAAAAGTGTAACGGTTGATCTCTCGCTTCTCTCTATCTCGATCCCTAGGCTCTCGCTCTCGATCTGCTTTAAAACTTATTTTATGAATTACTCGTACGGCGGCTGCTTGGGTTGTTCCTTTCTCCATTTTAAGTTAAGTTTAGGTGTTTACTGTTGTTACTGTTTTACATTTAGTTTAACTTTATACAATCTTTGGGTTTCATGGCTGCGGTTTCTCGTCGACGTTTTTCGTGTGAGGCGCTTTGGGTTCTCTCTCTATCTCTCTTTGTCGCTAACTCGCTCTCCTGCTAACTCGCTAACTTGCTAACTCGCCCTCTCGCTAACTCGCTATCTTGTATCCATTTCTCTTACTTTTCGAAAGCTTTCAGTTTACATTTTATTTGAAACGTTGATTTTGATTAGACGCACTCGTCCTAGGATGGGTCCTGCAGTTCGTTCCACTTCCACTTCACAGCACCGTCTCCATTTCGGCGATTTCCGTCTTGTACGACCTGCGATCCGGGAACGAGAACGTGAAACGGAAACGGAAACGGGTGCCCCCAGGCGTTAGTGGGCTTAATTCGGGATCTGGGCTCTATACTACTTAACACCAAGCAAGCTTCACGGTTATACAAGTACAATATATAGTATGTGTGTGCGTGTGCATATAGATAGGGTGGCAGAGTGGTGCAGTGGCTCACAGGACATGCGTTCTGGGCTATGCTAATTAGCCTGCCAGCCAATGAAAAATGTGACAAATTGTAATCAGCCGAGGCCGGGATGCGGGATGTGCTTTGGTGCGGGAGAAGAGGCAAATGTGTGTGCTTTAAGGAGGTGGGGGAGGGGAACCCCTAATGGGAACAGGAACAACATTAAAGAGGAGACTCGGTCGGGACGTGGCCAAGACCTGGGCATCATCAATCAATCAGAGTCCAACGGGGCGAACAGCACTCTAGGGTTCGCATGTAAATAAATTAGTGCCAAAAAGTAAATGCGAAAAGCGTATCATTGGGGGAGGGGGAGGATCCTTCCTTAGTTTTCTCTCTCACAACAAAGGGTTTTCCCGGGGTTTCCCCTTGGGTATCATTGCTGTCCCTCGTATCCATCATCATCCATTTATCAGTCAACTTTTCGGCTTCAGTTTCGGACGCGGCAAACTTTTTGAAGTGCTTTTCAGGTTTTTCCACGTGTGGGAAAACCTCCGAACAATATGAGGCGGCTGCCGGTTTTCCCCCTCTTCAACTTAATTTCCACAATTCCGAAACGCTGCAAAGTTTTACCTGCATGTGCTTTGGCCTTCACTTGTGGCCATCCATAATGATGAGCATATAGCGGAAGGTACATCTGGGCAGACATGCCTTTGTGGCCCCGGGGGGAGTGGGTTGGGGGAAAACAAGGAAATCGAACCTCGGGAATCCGTAACTCCATCGGAGCTTGGCACGCCATAATGCACACAAAAGGGGGGGCGTGGACACAAGTACGCAGAACGGACATTGGCAGGAACAAAGGACATGGGCATGCACACGGAGAAGGACAAGGCAGCCGCAGAGCAACCACAGAGCCTCAGTGCTCAGTCCCCCCCCCCCCAAACAGGCGCCTCCCTTGGCTCGGGGTGTGTTTACTTGCCAGTAATTAATGCAAATGTCGCCAGGTGTGTGAGAGCCGGCTGGTAGCACCTTGATAAGCGCCAGGACGAGCACAAGGACAATGATAGGAAGGCCTTTAGAGTTTGAACTTTTAATTAATTAATAATTAATTAATTTATTTAATTTAATTTTCATTTTAATTACAAAATGATCGTAGCTCTGGGAAGTGGAGCTTGGAAAACAGAATTTTCCACAATCGATGTATCCGATTTTTTGAACCGTTTTTTCCTCATTGTTGAGGAAAATTTGAGGTGGAATTGCAAGGAATTGGGAAACTGCAGACAGGATGTTTCTACCTCTCTACCTCTGCCTCTGCCTCTCCTCCCTCTCTATCTCCCTCCAGCTAATCAGAATTAAGCCCATTCAAAAACCGTTTTAAAAAAACTAAGAGCCATTATATTTTCTGGCCCGGATTTATAATCCTAAAAGCCACAGGAATGGCAGGCGCCTGGCCAAAGGACGATGCATAGATAGAGGGAGGTGCACACGAGTGAGTGATTGACTAGGTGACCCGGCCAGAGGAGGGAGGTAGCCACCATCCACTACCGGTGATGGTGTAAGCGATAATGCGGATGCCGGCTGCTACTGGCTACCCTGATCTGTTAATTGCTGGTCAGAAGGGGGTGCAGAGAGCAAGTAGTCCTGTGTGTGTGTGGAGGGTCGTAAAGCGTTCCCACATCCGATTACCGGGGGCGAACCACACCCGGTCATCCAGAAGCCCCGAACCCATTGTAAGCAACGATATGCAAATGGAAGGACCTACGCACAAAGCTCCTCCCTGACTGAATGACAACAGGAACTGTCGGAAATTGTGCTATAACTAAGACTATAACCAGGGACTGTGTCCCTGTCGAATCAGGAACCGAGATAAAGTAATTTAATAAAGTCATTTCCATATATTTATATTAGGGCCGAGGCCCCGAAGGATGTGGCAGCAGCTGCCCGACATCATTAGCGTGGCCAGCAAGGACCTCCAACTACCGTGTAGCCGGGCAAAAAACAACACAGAAGGGAGGATGCAGGAGAAAGCTGGAAATGTTATTTCAAGCAATTGCTTAATTTAATTACGCAGGGAATATGTACAGGACTCGTGCAGGCGGAGGACAGGAGGGGGTAACAATTCCACAGCATGCACAAAGAAAACTTACCACCTGTATAGATCTTGGGCGCTGGCGGCGAGACTCAGGTTGCCCAGCAAAGGCGGCCGCTCCTTGAGATGATGATGGTTCAGCAGGTCCGAGGAGGAGGCCAGCCTGGAGAGAGACGAAAGACACATCCAAAAATTAATTGTGGCTTCCATGAAGCGACGATTGCCACTGAAAGACCCACCTCAATTGCGGCGCCTTGATCCCATGCTTGTCCATCACCTTTTCCAACTGCCGCACCCTCAGCCTTGACATGTCCAGCTCGTGCTTCACCTTCCACAAGTGCGTGTCGCAAATGGGATCGTTGCAGCGATGCTTCTTCAGGATCTCGGTGGCCTCGTACACCGCTCCGCGGAAGGTCAGCGACTTGCCCATCGACAGCGATATCAAAGCGCAACAATGGCCGCCATCCTTCTTGGCCAAACGCTTTCGTATGTACTTGAAGTAGACATGCTCCAGGAGGAGCAGCAGGGCCGCCAGCAGGATGCCCGCCATCAGCAGGAGGAAAGCGGAGAGGAACTGCTCTAGGGCCAAAGGATCCGAGGATTTGTGCTCCTGCTTCCCGGGTCGGCAAGTGCCCGTCATCCAGTAGCGACGGAGTCGCTCCAGATCCCCATTGGCCCGGAACTCGAGCAGGCGCTTGTTGAACATCTGCACGTACTTGGAGTTGCGGCTGAAGGCGAGTCCATAGCCTGGGGGGAGGAAGGAGAAAGGTGAGGCGAAAAAAAAGGGTTTTAGAGGTTGTTGTACAGTGGGGTTTTCAGTTTAAAACTTAAAAATCAGTGAAAGATACTTTTCCGACCCTATAAATCATATACATATATTCTTGATCAGCTTCAACAGCCCAATCGTTTAGCCTTGTTTGGGGCGAAAAAAAATATTTTAGCCATTTTTTCAGAATTTCATAAAAATTATCAGAATTTGACCAGTTTTGTTAACATAGTGAAAACTAACATAACTCCTCTTTCCGAATTAAAATTAAACTATGATTTTTTTAGACTTTGAAAAATATCTAAGCGTGTTTTACATAAAGTTTGATATAAAACTCAAGTCTAAAAAATAATAAACTTTATTGTTTTTCTTATTAAAATCCATTTTTTTTTGAGCTGATACCACACAGTGCGGCTCAAACTCTAGCCTGTTGTTGTCTTCCTGGGCTGTTCTGCTGGGCACCTTGAGGCTGGCACTGGCACACCTAAACCCCCAACCCCCCAAGTGTTTCTGTGCTGCCAAAAGTTTCATAATCTGCCGTTTGATAAGTTTTAAACTCGTTTTCATACAGTTCACACTTGGCCAAATGCTTTGTGAGTTTAATAATAACTTTTAATGACAAACTAAATTGTTTAAGGAACAAGGAAAAGGTTGTTTCTCAGAACCTACCGGTCATGGCATACCAGCTGCCGACGGTCATGAGGCGGCAGTCCTCGTCCTGGGCCACCAGATAATCCAGAACAGTGCCATCGTAGATGAAGGAGTCCAGATTGCCATTGAGCACGGCGGCCACTCCATCGGCCACACTGGTCTTGTTGTACCTGAGAGATGAGAGGAACAGGTGATGATGAAGAGAGTTTAAAGTACGGATTAGTGGCCACTACTCACTGTCGCATGTAGTTGTGCATGACATTGAAGTACTTGTGGATGGTGGAGTCCGTGTGGCTGTAGGGGATGGTGCCGAACTTGAAGGAGGGCTTGTGGGAGAAGGGATGCACCAGGCGGCTGTCATTGAGGCCGCTGAACTCGTGGAACTCCTCCCTGAAAGCAGGGTAAGAAGGGCTAAAGAGGAGCTACCAGGGTACGTTTTCCATCTCCCACCTGGTTATCATGAACGCGGCCAGGTTGGCAGTGTAGATGGCCAAAAAGACCACGGCAAAGAGGGCCCAAACGTTGGTCATAAACCGCGAGGTGAAGCCGCGCGGCGAGTCCACATGGACGGCGGCCTGGAAGAGGACGGCCCACACCAGCCAGTAGGTGCGGAACAGGGAGAACCGATACGGTGTGACGTTGGTGTTCTGGAGATACAGCTTCATGTCATAGCCACTGGGCGAAAGCCATTCGAACAGGAAGATCATAAAGGTGGCTGCCTGGATGGCCACAATGCCCACCTATAACCAGGATTATGGAGAGAGAGAACGGACTTACCCAGTGAGAGAACTCTGGTGGAGAGCAGAGAGAAAGAGCAAGAGCAACTTGACCCACTTACCAGCATCCAGGAGGCGGTATCAAAGGGCTCCAGGAAGGCGGTGGGTGAGATAATACCCGTCCTCTTGGCCACCACAATGGCTATGCCAGTCTCCATAAAGGGCTCTGAGAAATCCACAACCGCCTCGCGTTCCGTGTTAATCATCAGCGAGGTGAGCACCATGTCCGTTTTGCGATTAACCAAATCGGCGATCAGGCCGTTCCACTTGCCATTCTCGAGGGTACCCCATTTACCATCTTCGACCCGCACCAGCTCATAGGTGAAGCCCAGCTCCTCGGCGAACTTCTCCAGCAGATCGATGCAGAAGCCGCTGCAGCATTGGTAAAAGGACTCGTTGCGGTGTGCCTGGCCCACATCAATATCGGCGGCCATCTCATGGTCAGCGGCCACGCGGCACAACACGCCGCGATCCATCAGGCACTTGCCACTCACCGGATCCGCGGGCGACAGATTGATATAGGGTGCCTCTTCGAGGAATGTTATCTTCAAATGGAACTTTTCCGGCACGCCCTGGGGCGGGGCATGCGAGTTGCCGGGCCAGGCAATGTCGCGAATGTCCAGCTTTTGGGTCTCCCAAGATTTCCACACTCCAATCTGGGCCAGATTGGAGGAGGAGGATTATGGAGATTCGAGATTCGAATGGTGGTGTGAGTACAAAGCCGTGCAAGATCAGAGATTGTTGCATGAGGAGAGTGGAGAAAGGAGAGAGGAGAGTGGAGATTGTGAGCGATTTGGAGGAAGAGTGAGCAGAAGAAGAAAAGTAGAAGCATGCAGGGATAAGGCGGCGGAGTACTTACCTCCTCCCACACAAGATTCTTGTTGTTGGCACTCGGCCGGAGATTCATGATCTTGAGCTCAGCGGAGCGAAGATCCCCATCGGCCGTGAACTCTATGTTGGGCTTGTTCAGGTCACCCTCGATGGACACATTGCGCAAGTACTTAAAGAAGCTACAAAAAAAGACATTAAAAAAGGGAAAAGGAAAGAGCAGGCGTTCCAGGTTAGTTAATGAAACTCCTCCAAGAAGCTAAAACTACTCTCTTTCCCCTTCCTAAACTTACATTTCACCATTATCCCAGCGACCGCGACCCTCGTCCTCGCAGGACAACGACTGGGTGGTCAGGCGTCTATCCCTATTGGCCGGATCCGTCAGATAAGCCTCCACGCCATAGCTATAGATCTTGATGGCATTCGAAATCTCATTCATCAAGGCCGCACTCGAGGTGTCAAAGTGTACGCCCAGCATTCCCACCGGAAATTGAGAGTGGGCATCCTTCTTCTCGATCACCGACTGACTCACCACCCACACGTAGTTCTCCCCCGTTAGCTTCATCTCCTCGGCGGCTCTTAGGATGGTAATGGCCTCCGTCTGGGTGGCATAGAGCAGCATTACCCGCGCCTCGCTATTCACCAGCTCCATCAGATCGCTCGTCCGCGTGACCACTATCGAGTTGAGAATGGTGAACTTGAAGTGCTCCTGCATCTCGGCCACACGCTCTCGCACAGCCTGGACAAAGTCATCGTGACCCGCTATCTGGGAGGTGACCACCGAAAACTGATGCCACTTGTAGCGCTCCAAAATGCTCAACATGGCGGCGCTTTGGTGCTCAATGCTCGGCGCCAGCTGGAGCTGCAGCGTTGACTGGGATGCGCGACGTTCTAGCCCAGAGTTGTCGGCATTCCAGGAGATCACCGGTATGCCCAGGTAACCGGCCAGCTGGAGGAAGTACTGGGCAGAGGCGGTGCTATGGCCAAACTGTTCGTTGTTCATCATGTACAGGATGGCGGAGACATTGACGCGCAGGAATTCCTTGCACAAGGTGCTCAAGATGGCTACACAAGGAGAGGGGGAGGGGTAAAAGAAGGGTATTCAAAAATAATACATTTTCTTTTATATTATATTAATTATTTGTTAAAAATTAAATTAAAATAAATTAAAAATTAAAAAAGCGAAGAAAAAATGTAAAAAAGGACGAAAAAGTGCCGTTCGTTTTTGTTTATTTTTGTTTCTGTGGCTTAAGTGAAAATAGTGCCAGTGATGCGAGCATTATATAAATAATATTAAATAATATTAAGCTTGCTTAAATAATTTATACTTCAAGTTAAATCTGTCCTTGATTGGTTAAGGAAGCCAATTGAGAGAGAGATATAGGAGCATCTAGTATTTTAGGTTTCCTTTTATAATAATCTAACCCCTCCCTTAAATACCGTTTACTTTGACTTCATTTGCATGCCAAACCCTCTGACACCTCTCTCCTGGAAGTCAGAGACCCCCCAGAGGTACTGCTCCTGCTTCCACTCCATCCTACCATCGGATTGCCAACCCCCATTGGCCATCGTTAAGTCCCAATCTCAGCTCGTGCGTGTCTTGTGTACAGATGTGTGGCAATTAATGGCAGATTAGCCACCTTCCGAACTTATTTTACGATTTAGGTAAAACTCAGCCTCCTCTGGGAGTAGGAAAACCTTCACCGCGGAGCCCTACTCGCTAATTGACCTACTTCTGGTGGGTCCTCCTGGCAGGTAAATAATTCACGTGCAATTTCAGGGCAGGAGCAGGTGGTGCTGGGTGCAGTTGGATGTCATGACTACTGGCAATCGATGACAGCATTGTTCTCCCAGTGACCAGAAGATAATTTGGTAAGTTTTGCCTTGCTTGGAGATAGGGAATCGATGACAAGACATTGTCAAGTCAGAGGAACGTGCTGGGTGGGGCGGGGTGGTTCGTGCTGTCAATGCTTTGGCAAAATGTGAAATCTCATCAAAAAGTTTAATTAACTTTTTCATCACTTTACTTCTGCTCTCTGCATTCCACGGAGAGATGAGATGGAGGAGGAGCTAGAGCCAGGCTAGGGTCTTGGGTCCTGCTAATTTTCACCCCCTACTAACGCCTGCATTCAATTACCCATTTCCATTCCCATTTCCATGTCCTAGCCGCAGAGATCTATAGGCCCAGGAAGCACAAGCCTCCGGATGATGGATCGATGGATAACTCTATGGAGGATGGACGAAGCCCGATAGGAATGTGGGTGGGTTGGGGAAAGCAACCTTTTGTTCCCATTTAACCGAGGATAGAATCTCACTTAACGAAATTAGGACTCGTCTCTCTCTCTCTCCCTCTCTGAAAATTTAATTTAATTTTGGGAATGGAAACATTTTTGATTAGAAATTTAATTGCGTGCATTAAGCACAGTGTAATTGCATTATCAAGTGTCGGGGTGCCAGCTTCCTATCGTCCCTGGTATTGGGATTGGTACAAGGACTGGGATTAACCAACGTTCCGAAAAAGTGCGTAATGTGGCAGGTAATGTGAGAGAGAATTCATCAAGGTAGGGAAGGGTCTACGTTCCCAAAGGACTCCCGGAAGTGAGGAGGCAGCAGCTTCTCGGGCTTTTTGTAATGTGCAAATTGAATTTTGACACACAGGCCTGCCTTCCCCAGCTTCTGGCTGAGAATTTAACTGCCAAAAAGGACTAAAAGCAGGAAAAGCAGCTTGTTATTGTTGTGCCACTCAGGAGTAGCAAGTTCTTAGGGAAAGGGAGCAGGAGCCAGAGTCAGCTAACAGCTGTCAGCTGTGACTTGGCTCCGCCTTTGAGTTCTGAGTCCCGAGTCCTGAGCCTTGAGTCTTGAGTCCCTTCGCATTCGTCCTCGCTCCCTGACAGGCAGCAGCCTCAGCCGGAGCTTGCCTCTGTCAACTTATTATAACATCCATTAATTTCATTTAAGCATCATTCAATTGCCTTCGTTTTTATCGCAAGTTATCACAAGTTGCCAACAATGCAAGTGATAGAGTGCAGGGTGATGATGGAAGTCCACCTCTCCTTTGTGTGTCCTGGGGGGTTGCAAACTTTTTACATTACGCGCCAGGCAGGCAGGCAAGCGGAAAAAGCGCTGACTGGGTGGCAAGGGTAAGGGATAGGGTAAAGGGGAGAGGCAAGGAGCACTACTAGCACGACAGGAGATGGAGACACACGACACACACTCTGAGTGCAGGTCTGGAAAGCCCTTAGTAGGGGAGTCACTACCCACTAGAAGCATAAAGCACAATTAGGAGTCACAGCTGCTGTCCCAGCAACATTCGATAATTCACTGGATGCGGGCTAGGAGCAGAAACACCAGGACACCCGCATTGCACGGTCACAATCAATCGATTTGGAGGGAAAAGTTCGCACACAATTAAACATTTGCCACGATAATTCCGGCCGATTAAGCAATCCTCATGCTCTGGCTACTGCTCTGCCTGCTTCCTAATTGTAACATTGGATTCCCAACCATATACATCCTGTCCATCCATATCCATATCTCCCAAAAGGACAATGCCACCTGGCAAGTTTTGTTTTTGTGGGTCAAAGATTGAACGATTTACCAGTATAAAGCTCATGTATTTCTGTTAAACATAAACAGACGACTCGATCTAGCAAACTAAAGTTAATAAACATTCTCAAAAGATTAATTTCCCGAGCAGGATATAAGGGAAAGTCTGAAAATTCATAGAAAAATGTATTACAAATTAATATAGAAAATATAAAACTGAAAAAAAGTCGACTATTTTTGAGGCTGCCTTCCTTTGCATCCTTGGCATTCGCATGCCAAAGCTCAAAGCCCAAAAACACGCTCACACACGACGCACAGGATCTGACAGGGGCGTGGCAAATGCCAATAAAAAGGAAATGCCATGTGTATGCCCAGGATAGAAGCAAAAGCAAGGGGAGTAGGGAAATGCGAGAAAGGAGCTGGAACCGGGAGCAGAAAGCAGCGATACAGGAGCTGAGAACTAAAGGAAGCTAAGGAAGCTAAACTAAAACCCAAGGAGACTGGGCGCATATTTTATAACTTGACGTCACTGGGAACCCCACCCTAGCCCCCACCCACATCCACACAGAGTCCTGCTCTCCCACTTACATGAGAGCAGCCGAAATCCGCATGACGACAAAATGACAGGAGCTGGGTGGCAGAGGCAGAGTGGGTGTGGCCGGGACAACGACGACGCCCAAAAAACATCTTATCGAATATCAAAGTGTTGCCAGATGATTTTTCGCTGTCCCGGGTACCCTCCCCTCCCCTCCACCATGTGTGTCCTGGCCAAGGTAGTGGGAACTATGCCAGCTTAGCTGTCAGCACTTGAGGGGCTTCCTCCTTTCGGAGCTTCTCCTGCCGCGTTGTCAAAATTCCAACGCTGTTGTTAGCATCGAATTAAAACTGATTCATTCGAGCAGCGGAGGAAGGAAGGGTTGGGTTGGGTTGGGTTGAGGAGTGTCCTTCTCCTCAAGGACATCATGGCAACGTCACACAGCTTGCCAAGGAAGGTGAAACTTTGGTGCAAAGTGATGCGGCAAAGTAGTTCCTTCCCTCCAGCCACACCTCCGTGAGGGTTTCGGCTTTCAACCCGACAACCTGAGAGCCTTGAAGAGAAGCTTCCACAGCTCCTGCTCCTGAAAGTTTCCCTAGAATTGAACTCAACAGAAAGAGAGTGAGAGAGTGTGGCATAGAGAGTGCCCACAACCGCAACCACTTGGCCAGTTGGGGCCATTAGGCGTGGTTTTGTCTCCGTTTGTAACCGTCTCCATGTAGCGCTGGGTCCATCATTATCAACCAAGCGTGTATAATCAGGCAATTCAGCTTCCATTTTGTACCAGCCAGGATCCTCCTCCTCCGGAGTTCTCCTGCTCCTGCTTGTCAGCTCTGTCACCGCAGGCATGTGTGTGTGCGATGTCAACAGACTTAAGCGCAGTTCATAGTTTGTAACCCGAAACCGAAGCGACGACACTGCTCTCTTCTCCGGCAATTCCCAGATCAACCGCATATGGCCCCAAGGCAGCTCTGGTTCCTGCTTCTCCTCCTAGTCCCCGTGTCCCCTTGTCCCCTTGTCCCCTTGTCCCTTGTTCAAGGGCAAAAGTCTACCCACCCCCAGAGGCTGCATGTGGCACAAGGCAAAGGGACGAGAAAACTAAGCCTGAGGGCCATTCTTGACCTGGCAGTGACTCCAAGGCGGCGCCAATTAGTGGGCTTTGGACTTGGGTTTGATTTGGGCCAGGGACTAGGGGTTAGGTTAGGGTATCCTTAAAAAATGAAAACGAATCTGGTAGAAACACAGAATAAGCCTCACTTCGGGAGCAAGTAAGTCATCTTCCTCGGGGAGGGAGGCCAGAGTCCTGCTTTCAAGCCATTGTCCTGCCAGAGGCCAGCCTGGGCCTCCTTTTTCCTTTCATTTTTTTTTATATATATTTTTTTTTTGTTCTTTTTTCTTGGACAACCATTTGTTTGGGGCTTGTTCTCACACACACACACACACATATACAATGCCAGTGGCTACGCACGTCCGGCTGGGAGGGAAATTAAGGATGCAGAAGAAAGGACGAGTAGGCAGCGAGGAGCCTTCAGAGAATCAATTTACGGCCAATGGCAGCTGCGGCTGAATATTTGCACGTTGCCAATAAATAGGGACCAGCCAGGCAGAGTCTATGGGAGAGGAGAGAGAGGAAAGAAGGCTCCTAGAAGAGGTCAGGACAGAGGAGAAGAGGAGCCACTCCTCCTGCTTCTCTCAGCTGCACTATAACATCATTATGAGGCTACTGGACACACAGGAGGCGGGTGTAAAAAAAGCTTGCAGTTACCAACAGGAGAGGATGGGACGGAACAGGACAGGAACAGGCTTTAACAGCTTATTAATGCGAGATAGCGTCCGGTGGTGGCTGCAGCAGGAGCACCTGGTAGCCGCATGTAGACAAGGTGCAAACAAGGTTAACGCCAACGACAAGGACCACACCGGATGTTAATCGCGGGTTCAATGGCTAATAATAAAGGATGTGGGACATAGAGGCAATTCTTTTGCTGCTGCTGCTCCTCCTCCTGCTGCTGATGTTAATGGTGGTGACTTCGTTTGGGAGTTGGGATGACAAGAAAAATGACTTACGGCTGCCCAGGGATCCCAGTTGTCCGGCCACTGACAATGGAGTGATATATGGCTGATGTCCTTGGCTCTCGGCGAGTTCGATTCAAACTTAAAATGTCATTTAGCAAAGTGGCGGACGGGAGGGAGAGAAAGAGAGCTTGGGATCATTCAATCATTCATCCGCTCCTTGACAGTCTCTCTGCCTCCTCGCATTGCGTATACGCCACGTATGGCTCAAGTGGGCTCTCGGTATTCATATGTATATATATATATTACCAGCCAGGTTAGCAGAATAACTGCTACGGCTAATAACTGATAACTAACACCAAACCTGAACACTCAATTATCCTGCAATTAATGTAAATTAGACAGATGAGCAGATAGCAAAGGCAAGCTTTGGGTTCGGGGAAATCGGATAGTGGATAAAGGATAACATGAGCGTGACCATGTCCATGTCCATGTTCATGTCCATGTGTACATCATGGAGGGACAAGAGCAGGATAATAAGGGGGAACTCCAGTGCGGACAGGGCTGACAGCTTACCAGGGCCTCTGACAGATGACCATTAGCACATTCGTTTGCGAGTTTTTTTTACCTCGCACTCTCTTTATATTTATAAACATTTTTATTTAATAAAATTATATATATATATTCTATAATATATATTTAAAAAAATATGTTTTACAAAAGATATGTATTTTTATTTTTAATTAATTTTTTTTTTTTTTTTTTTAATTTTAAATGGTTAAATTATTTCGTTTAAATAATTGAGTTTAAAAGTTTATTTATTTATAATAGCAAGTACTTGCACTGCAAGATATAGTAAGGTCCCTGACATAAATATATTCCTGACCCCCTACTAAGTGTTATTACACGGCAATTATAGAACTCGCTTTGGGACCTGTATACCCTAAAAAACAATGGGCTTTAACCCTTGCTGATGGCTATGAAGACATTGACTTGGAGGGACTCAACTCTCGCCCCTCGTATTTGAGGTGATTGTCCGCCACTTTTACCCAACGCCAATTTCAGACCATTTTCCAACGCCGCAAATGAGCCAAACTCGATAATCAGGCCATCAAAGTTGATGGTTTTTAGGAGAAGAAAAGGGGCAAGTGGCGCACACGACCTCAGGACCTGCCAAGCCAAAGTCCTGCCTGCCTGCCTGAGTCCTGCCTCTGCCTGCCTCGGTAATCGTTTGTTGTGTCTGGGAGGTTAAAGTAATACAATTTCATATGAAATTACTTTGACACAAAATCATCAACTGCGAGAGGAGGGACTGGAGGATAAGGAGCCTGCTTGATTGTAAGGACGTTGGCTGTACTCCTCGTGAACAGATCAGAATGCAGACCGCAGAATCGAATTCAATTTCCATACCCCTGTGAATATTACACGACAAAAGAAGGGCAAACTATTGCAGCATGAATGGCCCCAGGATTGGCCAGGATCTCTTGCTTTCTCTCTCTCTGGTTCTAGTGGAAGAAATTCAAAGTTTATGGGGGGAGGGGAAAAATCAAGGCAAACACCAGCCCAGGCGCACTCATTGTTCGGCATTCGAAGAGAAATAACAATCGTCTGAACAACTGAACAGAAGTTCCCCCTAGTCCCCTATCCCTAGGCTCTATGTGTGTGGTATATATGTATATGGAAATCCATTATAAATTCCCCACAGACTGCCACTCGACAGAGACAGACAGACTTTGTTTGTTATGTGTTGTAATTTGCGTGCCTCACATCGCACACAGCCTCTTCTCTTCTCGCTCCTCAAGGTCCTGCCTCGTCCTGGCCATAATAAACATTTAAACATCATTGGAAATTCGTTTTTCGTTTGCTGTTTGCTTTATCAATTTAGCCAGCAAAAAGTGTGTGGAAATGCAACATAAAATTTCAATATGGCCCCCGGTTCAGGAGCAATCAGTCTTTGCTTTTGCAAAAATTCTGCTCCTTGCTCGCCCTTTTTATGGCTTTTTTTCGTCCTTTTTTTGCCCCAGCAAGTTTGTGCATGTTTGTGCGAAGAGAATGCAACCCTGGGCATCGTTTGAAATGCAATTTTGCACTTGTAAAACGCCATGGAGAATCAGGCAACATGAATTCGTGGAAAGGGGGTGTGGGAATGGGTACCTACAAATGGCTGAAATCACATTTGGACACTCGACAACCCTGGCTGGTGACTGTCGCTCAATCAGGGCTTAAAAGCGAGTGCTCTGAGTATGTATCTTGGCAACCCTGCCAGGCCGTTGACAACTCTGTCGTCGCTTAATTACAGTCCAGCCAGAATGGGACATTTATTTATGTCCGCCGCCTTCGCATTAAGCATTAAGCATTATTCCTTCGTTTTTCCCATTCTCATTTTCATTTTCATTTTCATTTTCGTTCTCATTCATGGCCGCCTTTATTGCGTCGTCGTGGGTGGTCCAAAGGGGGTTAAGCGCTTAAGTAGCTCAAAATGAACGGCCATTAAAGGTGCGTACGCAATTAAGAGAGCGGGAGCCGGGCAGGTGTCGCGAGTCGCGACCTCTTGACCATAGTGACCAAACAAGACCAACGAGAGTTCTCTACCAACGAGTTTCACCTATGGAATACCCGTACCCTGTAGTTGTAAGTATGTTAATTGCTTTTAATTCGAAAACGAAATAATTCACTACTTAAATATTTAAAATCTTCTTTATTTATTTATGTTATTAACGAGTAGGAACAAGCGATTAGTTTGTAGCAAGTAGGGATGAGCCACCGGCAATAACCTATTACTTATTACTGATTACTGATTGGAGATTACCGAATAGCCCTAGTATCCTTAGCTTTAAATTCAATAAATTGGTTTTAAAAATAAAAAGTGTAAGAAGCTAATTTAAAAGTAGCAAGTAGTGAGTTGCAAGTAGCGAGTAGCAAGTAGCGACTAGAGAGCAATGAGGAGCAAGTAGCGATTAGCTCTTAGCAAATAGAAAGACCATCACTCACCTGTCGGACTCGGCGTCAGCGACATCATATCAAAGTGGATATTCTTCTGCTCGAAGGAGTAGTCCTTGAGGAAGGTCAGCTTGGCACCGCGCGTCTTGGTGAGTCCGGTGACGGCATTATTAATGCTCCGCAGATACTCCCGTTTTCCGAAGTTCGTGTGCGGCGCTATGAGGCCAATGTTCAGTTGCTCTTTGTTGGCCGCAGCGCTTTTGCTCAGGCTGCCGCCACCATTGGTCAGCCGGAGGCCATGGCAGCTGTCCAGGATCAGGACACCGAGCAGGCCCAGCACAAGGAGCAGGGCATTGGCATTGAGCGTAAAGGGTGGCGGGGATTGGGGGGTGATGGAAACGGACGCGGAGGATCGTGTGTGGCTGTGGCTATTGCTATTGTGCTGTTGTTGTTGTTGCTGTTGGCTGCTGGCAGTGTTCCAAGTGATGTTCCCACTACTACTACTATGGTGGTATTGGTGGCTCCTCCTCTGCCCGGTACTGCTCCTCCGTCCGCATTTCAGCTTGACGCGACTGGGCATCATGGCTTGGTTCACGGCTCTCGGACTCTGACTCCTGCTCCTGCTCCTGCTCCTGCTTGCTCCTCCTAAAACCCTGCTGTCCTAGTGCATCTGCCTGGATGGATTATTATTGAGTGTGCGCTCTCCTTGGGTATCCTTCTGCCCTTGGTGCCGGCTCCACCTTCTGCTTCTCCCTCGCCAGGGGAATTATTGAGCTTGTATTGGTAGCTACTAAATTTAAACGTCGGGAAAAAGGCACAAAACGAGTCGTACTTGTTAGTGTTCAATGTACATACAACTGTGGGGGATACACACACACATACACACCTCACACACCTTACATCTCCTACACACCCCACTCAGTCACAGCTACTCGTGCGGCAGCGGCAACATCTGCATTGGCAACACTCGTCGTTGACGTTTTCCGCCATTTCCGTTTCCGCTACTAATTTGTTATGGCCGGAACACCATGGAACTGTGCAAGGACTACACCTCCTCCCACACCTGCCACCCTACAGGGAAGTGTATGTGCTGGCGCACTTCCTTTTGTTACTAAATGAATGGGGAGAAGGCTTTTCTCTTTCTCAAATTTACAAAATTTTTAAAAGAAAAAGCATATTAAATTGGAGGAATATGCAGACGGAAGAACTGTAGGGTCTATAAATCTTGTAAAGAAATCAAGATGTAAAGCAACGAGTAGCGGGTAATAAAAATCTAGAAGCCTTGAGCATAAAAAACTAGGAAAGACAGAAAGTAATGATATATTGCTGCTGTATCGATTTTTATACCCTTAAAGGGTATTCTAGTTTCAGTCAGAAGCTTGAAAAGCAGTGTAGGAGTCACTTCCGACCCTATAAAGCATATATATTCTTGATCAGCTTTGAAAGCCGAAGAGTTTTAGTCATGTCCGGAGGGAAACATTTTTTTTAGTTATTTTTTTAAAATTTGATAAGGGGTTAGTTACATCGTTAAAATTATTAAAATAAACTTAAATTTAAAATGCAGATTTTTTAACCCTATAAAAACGAATACAGAATTGTTTTCCGCATTGAAATTCAGGCATTTTCTAGTCTAGTTGTGAATAATTTGAAAATCGACCTCTGTTCCAGTTATAAACTTCAAGGGTATATAGGCTTCGGCTTCCCCTAAATAGCCTAGGGTATTTCTGTGTACCCCAAAATCCTGCGATTCGAATTCGGGATTCAATTTGAGCGCCACGCCGCCTGGCATTCTACATAAATTAAATGCGACATTGGTCCGCATAATCGCAGCTCCACACACACTCACTCACACAGCCACACACTCGTACTGGCAGCGGAAGGGTGTGCGCCTGCTGGCACACCCCGCAGGGAATGCGGTAATTGCTTGTGAAATTTTCACTTTGAATTTTGAATGTTTTTCGTCGGCAACAGCAGTAAAAACAGAGCCATTGAGAGCGAGCCGAGAGCGGGCGGAAACAGAAATCAGAAATCAGGAATTGGAAGCAGGACTAGGAGGGCATCGGGTATCAGGCCCAGGATATCCAGGGTGTGGCTGGAAGCAGATAGCCGACCTCCACTCCAAGCTCTCTACGCTTTTACATGCTGCCCCTCCTCCTCCCAGCCTCTTCCACCCAGCTCCTCCTTCCAGCTCCTTTATGATAGTCATCATCATTAATATCCGCACATATTGCGGCTGCTGGTAGTTTTCCTGTATCTCATCCTGTTTTTCCCCGGCATTGTTTGGTTGCCTTAGATGTGGCGACACCAAAAGAAATTAGGTGTATTTTTTGAAAAGCTAAGAAACTTAAAAAGCACAAAAGGCTAAAAGCAAATAATTTAAGAAGTCCTAAGTAAGAGCCGGTATAACTCTGGGTTTTTTTTTAATATTTTATAAATCGATGTAGCTTTTGCTTTCGATAAATTAGTCGATCAGTTTAATTTATGAAATCTATAAAACTTGCTCTCTCCCAAACTCGCTTTTCTCCTGGTGTATGGAGGCTATAGCTCTGGCTTTGGTTTTGGCTTTGGCTTTGGCTTTGGGCGTCGCCTGCTGCGGCCTCGTGTCATCATCGAATATACACAACACCCCAACCCCCACCCCCCTTCTAGAGATGGGGGGGGAGGTCCTGGGCTCCTGCGTCAGCAAAGTTGCTCTTGCTTTTGCTTTTGAGACTTCATGTTTTGTGCTTTCTCGCGCAGTTCGTGGCTCCGCAGAAAGCAGAAGCTGCTTTTTTGGGCTTATAATTTGTCGGTTGTCTGGCGACCCAATCTAGGACCCCTCTACCCTCTCAACTTCATCCACCTCTTCCCATCCCTTGGCAGCCTCCCCCTGGTCTTTGGCTTAAACTGTGTTTTGACACTTAACTGCCGCCTGTCGGCCTGTCAATAAGCATGGCAGAGCCAGCGAAGGAGTGATTACTCGTCCGTAGGAGAAAGGAGCCAAAGGCAGAGGACCTCCTGTATCCAGGAGATACAGATACCGAGTGGGAGCTAAGGCCGGAATGCTGCTGCTGCTGCTGCTGCTGCTGCTGCTCCTGCTCACATGCAATGGCCGCCAAAGACGCCGAAGGTCATGGGCTCGGGCTGGGTCTGGGTCTGGGACTAGGGCTGCTCCTGTGCTTCTTTCTCGGCTTCGTGTGCGTGTGCTTAGCCGTAAAATGTCTGCTGTGTGTGTGTGTGCTTGTGTCTACATGTGTTTCGTCCTTTTCGGGTACATGACATGGCCGGCAATAAATTGTATCTTGTATGAGAAATAACAGAGAAGAAACCAAAAAAAAAACAGCAGCCTGGGGGGGAACGGGGAGAGTTACATCGTCATTCATCGGACGTGTAATGAATTCACGGCGTATTAAACTTTTGATTGAAAATGTTTGCTGTTGTTGTTGTGGGCCTACAATGGCATTATCATCATCTCTGGTCTCCTCCTCCTATCCCAGCTCCTACTCCTGCTTCTGCTTTTGCTTGTCCTGGTGTGTTTATGACTTTTGCCGGACATCCTTGGGCTCAAGTTGTATTTACTTGGCTTTTACTTTTATTTCGGTTTTAGAGATGGTAGAAAATATCGATATATGGCTACAGAAGTCGATATATAAGTCGATGTTTAGGAGATAAATCGATATTACATTTGATATATACTATCTAAACTGATGGGAAATAATATTAATAATATATATTTCTCTGATATTTTTCATTATAATCGATAGTTTACTCTTAAATATTTCATTTTTTTTGTATTTATAAAAATGTATAAAAAAAAGTTTACGACTTTTTCAACAAGATATGAAGAGTGATATTCTTAAGGACTTATAATATCAGATCCCCTTGCTATATGCCCATCCAAAACAGTGACAGACACCAGGCACAGCCTCTCCCATTTCGCTTCAACCTCCTTTACGAGCATCCTGGCAAACCCCTTCTTTTTGACAGTTATTTACTTTTTTTTCCTTCTTCTTCTGCTACTCCTTCGCTCTCTGACCACGCCCACCAAATGCAATCTATTTATTTATTTGTTTGAGCTTCCACTTGGTCCTTTTTGTCGTGCTTTATCGGGGGAACTCAAAGGCTCCTTGTTTGGTTAGCTTTTTTGGAGGGATGCCAGGGAACGCTGTCTAATTTGACAGTGCGTCGACCGCCATCAGAGCCCAGCCCCAGTGCTGGTGTCTCGTCCTGGCTACAAACGCGACATTTCCCAGCCATTTCCCAACCATTTCCCTCATACACCGCCTTCCTTTTGGGGCGTGAAAAATTGCCGCGTGTTATCTCTGTGACACTGATGGCATTTTCTCTGCCCCTCTCTCTTTCTCTCTCTCATCCTGGTCCTGGGTTCTGGCTGGCACCTAATTCATTAGATCAGACTCGCTGCACCCGCAGCAGCCGCGAAAGCGTCCTGTTTACGGCGTGTTGTGCCGCCAAAACAACAGACAAACAAAAGTTTGCTTTGCTGCCCAAAAGTTTGGACGAATGCAAATCCCCCGAAACACACGCCGGGACACCCGACAAGGCTGCAAGAGGAACAGGACGACCGGAGGACTCGCAACAGGATTTGCAACAAGCAAGGAAGCAGCCGCAACTACAGCAGCGCCGACTGCCTCTGCTGCAGTTTGTCACTCCCACCGTGGGCAAATTGGTGGACATTTTTTTTATAAAATTGGTATAATTTTTATGTTAAATATTATTTATAATATTATAATTAAATAATATGATTTATAATATTATAAAAGATATATTTCTAATATTATAAAGTCAAGTATTATTTTTATTTTTCTAGATTTCTTGATAAAAATGTTGAAAAAAGAAATAATTTTAAACAAATTTTAATTTTTCAATTAACTAATTTATAATTTCTTAATTTCCTGTATTTTTAAATATACAATTTATTCATTTATATTTAATAATATTTACTTTTTTAATATTCATATTTTAATTATTAATAATTTCCTACGTTTTGCCCATGGTGCACTGGCCAAAAAAAGTGTATGTTGCTTTTTGTGTTTTAGCCAAAAGTTCTAGGTCCTGGCTGAGTTGTTTCCAGCTTGTTGTGTTCTTAATTGTGGGTTTTTGTGTTGCTGTGGTGTTTTCTTCTGGGTTGTTGTTGTATTATTTGTGTTATGTTGTTGTTTTTCTTATAGTTTTGTTGTTGCAGTGTTTTGTTGTTGTACTGTTGTTTTGTTTGTTGTGTTTAATGGTTGGTTTGTGTGTTGTTGGTTTTTATGCTTTTGTTGTAGTATTGTGTTGTTGTTTGTTAATTAACCCTTTTTGAATATTTGGAAACTTGTGGTTGTAGTTTCAGGACAAAAAACAAACATAAAAAAGTTATTTCTATATTTTTAAACTTTTCCAGAAGGTGTAAAAACTTATAAAGTTGTATTGGAAATAAGCTAAAAGTCTTATCTGTTGTTGAATGTAATATATGTTGTTGAATTTTGTTGATGCTGTGATTTAATTAATTGAAAAAATACAAGATTCAAGCATGTATCAGGAGAGTCTTTTCATAAATTTTAAATGATTTTAAAATCTTTTGAAAGAATCTATGTTTCTGAGATAGATACTAAATATAAACTTTGAGTTGTGGTTCTATTTTCCACACAAATACCATATTTTGTAGCTATTCTAGCCTAAAATAGGTCTTGACATGGGCTTGGGGGGAAAACTGGAGTCGGAAGAGAAGGCTTTCATGCCTGCCGAGCTTCCAAGGCTGCCTTGCTTTTGCCTCGAATTAGTGTAAATTTCATAATAGTAAAAATCTCAAACTTGGGGGCGGGGATGAGGCGTCGATTATGTCGGCGGGGGTATGGACGAGAGGGCTGGCCTCTTAATTAAAATGTGTCGCAGGGGCCGTGGTTGCCGAGGGAGTGGAAACGAGGGGCCTTTGTTTTGCTTTCGCGCTGCTTTCCTTCGGCACTTTTCATGCACTTTTGCCATTGTTTTCGTTGTTGTTGTTGTTGTTGTTGTTGCTGGTTGGGTATTGGCCCACACACACACACACATCCTCCTCACACTCACACACACACACTTGAACAAAAACAAAATAAAGAGCAACAGCAAATGGCAGCAGCACTTCTCCCTCACATTTCCTTTCGTTGATGTTTTCTTTATATTTTAAGGCACTTTTACTGATTATTTTCACACACACACACTCGTTGGTTTTTCTCTCGGTGTATTTAGTTTTTCTTCTCTAGGTTATTCCCTGTTTTTTTCTCTTCTTTTTTCTCTCTGTGGCTGCTACTTAGCGAGCAAAGTTTTGACGCTGACGCTGAAACATGAAACAAGTCCACACCCAAAAATGCAAAGACACGACACACAGGGCCACCAATACAGCGATACGGGACGATGACGACGCAGCCTCCTCACACGGACACACACACACTCATACACAGACGAGACACACACACACAAACACACATTTATACACGCCCAAAAAAAAGGGAACAAAAAGAAAGCCACGAACAAAAAGTTCATCTACTTTTTCGCCATCATTCCACTGGCTCTGGCTCTCTCCCCCGCCCGCTCTCTTGCTTTCCCGCTCTATGACCGTGCTATCCTGCGGTGTCCTTTTTTGTGTTTTTATTTTTGTATTTGTCGCATTACGATATTTCCACTGCTATTTGCCATTGATGTTGCCGCTGCCACACTGCTGTGCTTCATTGTTATAAAACAAAGCTCGAGGCAGGTCTCTGGCTTACGTTTACATCCACATTTGGCTAGAACTTGCGGGAGGTTGGAGGAGCTTGGTCAGTCAGTCTGTCGGTCGGTCGGTCGGTCGGTCGGTCAGTCGGTCAGTCCGGCGATCGATCCTGTCCTCGCACGTTCCACGCTTCGCGTCCGCAGTACCGCCAGTGGCCAGTCCAAGCCGAGCTTAGGCTCTACTTGAAGTGCAGCCGATCGGCTTGGTTCGGTCCTTTCGGTTTCAGTTCGTTTCGGTTCGGAGCGGAGTGGAGCGCGCGTTCTGCGGACTGAATGCGACGAGCCACCGAATGGCACTGAAGCCTCCCAAAGCCCGGGAAGAGGCACAGCCACAGCCATGGTCCAGGCTCAGCGGCCGAGCAGGAGCACGAAAGCAGCAGCCGACGAGATTACGACACACGCACACGTCCTGCGGAGGGTGGCTGGAGAGCATTGTCAATGTCACACAGAGCCAGTGGGGAGAGAAAGAGATAGGGGGGAACGAAGCGGAGGGACTCGACTTGGATTCGGTTTCGGTTTCGTTTCCCTTCGGCTTTCGCTTTGACGCAACGCTTGTAACACGCCCTCCTTCTGCGTATACGTAATATTACGCTCTTTCGCTGAGAGAAAGAGAGAGCTCTCTTGCTCTCTCGCTGTCTGGCCGCTGCCTGCCAAACCCAAGCGGCAGGGTTGCCACCTGGTCGGGTGTCGCCTCAAGTAGGAATTCCCAACCAGTTCTGTTAGTTTAAAATGACTGCAAAAGTGAAAAAAAACAAACTTAAAATATTTTATTAAATATTTTTCTTTATTTCATTTATTTTTCTATTTAAAATGATTGTAAAAAATAATAATTATCTGCAGAATAACAAAAAAGGAAGCGTACTTAGGATACAAAGAATGGGTTACCTTTTTTTTCTAGTGGACAAGGCTGATGGAAAATATATACCATGTATATATATGTATATATATATAAAGGATATCTTTAAGATGCTAGAAATGTTTTCTTCACTCTATTACAAACTAGGATTTTAATACAATAAATAAATTAATAAATACTATAATAAAAAATAAATAAATGCCATAAAAAATATTAAATAAATATTTTGCTGGGAAATTGAGTTGAGAATTATAATTTGAAGTTTTTCCCGTCTGGCAAGGCTCCAAAAGTCTCGCCTTTGGGCTTCTGCGTCTGCGTTGCTCTCCAAAAGAAATAAAAAACGTGGAACTGGAGGCGGCATCAGCCGCTGGTCCCGCTACTGCTCCCGTTTCTCCTGCGGCTGCTGGGCCTCGCCTCGACCTCGACGGTGCTCCAGTGCTCCAGTGCTTGACTGTGGCGAGGAAAACCACGTGTTGATTTGTTTTGATTGTGCGCACTTAGTCGCACGTTCAGCGGTCTGGCTTCAGCTTCAGCTACAGCTTCTGCCACGGCCGCCGCTCCTGCCCAAACTGACTGCTCCTCTGCCTGGCTGCCCGCTGTCTCTGGCTTTGGCTTTCGGCATTCGGCTTTGGCTTTGGCTTTGGCCCTGCAACTTCTCTAATTGAATCCTTTGCGTCTTGCTCCCTGCGCAGCCAGGCGGCAGCAATGGAGGAGCATATTCCTAGACCGCCGCGTCCAACCACCGTGGTCGAAAAATGCCGCTATTAGATTATCACGCCCTTTACTCTGTTGTGGGCGTATTTTGGATACCCCAAAATTATTTAAAATGATTTTCAAAGGAGCTAAGCTTTTAAAGGGAAATTTTTAATGAAAAATTGAGCAATTTCTGGGCCTATGCGGCGTATACTTAATATTTCACTAATAACTCTGCTATGATGTGGTTGCTTTACGGTGCGTATGCGTAATATGCCTGAACCACTGTGACCTGGCTGGCTTTTCCTGCTCATCGTGTGGCCTCGTCCTCGGTCTCGGTCTTGGTCTGAGTTTCGAGTTTAGGTTTTCGGGTTTTCAGCTTCCAAAAGCCAAAGCCAAAGGCAAAGCCAAAGCAGCGGGTAAACGCTTTGTGGCACAGGCACACCCCGTAGCAGCCAGCCAGCATCCCTCGTTGCCTTTTGCCTAACTTGCCAAATTAATAAATTGCCTGTAAAAACGCACAGGCACAGGCAGAGGCTTTTGGCCTAGACTTCCCGCAGAAGATGGCAACGTGTATTCCTTGATTAGATTTGAATGAGTGTGAGTGCCGGCAGTGGGCCTATGATAGATAGATTGGAAACCCGCTGCCATGGCTCCTGTTTCTTATCCGGTTTCGGGTGATGCTTTTGCTCCTGCTTCCGCTGCTGCTCCTCAACCTCCTCCTGCTCCTGCTCCTGTTCCTGCTCCTGCTTTTGCTGCTGCCTCTGCCTCTAAACCTCCTCCTTCTCCTCCTCCTGCTCCTCCTGCTCCTCCTAAGCTTCCTCCCACTCCCGTTTCGGTTTCGGTTTCCTGCCAGTGCTCCTCCCTTCCTCCTTGGGTCCTCCCTGTGTCTGGTAAGTTCGGGGCCTTTGATGGATGCGATTGCGAATCGTTCGCATTGAAAACTCGATTAATTACGCCAGCCGATGATTTCGGGTGGAGACAGGCCTGTGTCCTTGGCAGTCCTGGTGCTCGCCTTTCTCCTCCTCCTCCTCCTCCTCCTCCTCCTCCTCTGCTGCCTTTGACTTCTTATAATTTCGTTTGCATTATAGACCCAGCATAGTGTGTCCTGTGTCTGTGTGTATTTAGTACAATTTTGTTTGCTCAACGCTGATTTTGAGCTGTGTTTCAGCTGAAGGGTTTTCCCCAACAGGAGCAGGAGAGTATGGGAGAGGGAGGTGAGGTAGGCTCCAAGCATTTAAAAGACATTTGTGCCCAGAGTGTGGCTGTGGCTGGACACTGTGCTGACCACGTTTAAAGTAATTTTTCGCATCATTGGACCAGGCTCAAGTGCTGGCCGGTACGTGCGTCAATTAGGCCGGATACGGAAGAGAGGATGGGCCATCCGCCCCCCGCCCCTCCTCCAAACATACTCCTCTGGCTACTCATTTGCATAAATTCCCACGCTGCGCCACAAAATGTAGCATTCCGAGTGCAGAGCAAACAGCAAGCGGCAACCCGGCATCCGTCGGCAGGCGGCAGGCAGGATGACCAATTGCATCCGAGTCCGAACGCGACCCAAATCCGCAATTAGATCACGCCCAGCCACGCCTCCAGCGCCCACACACACACAGACAGTGCAAACAACAAAACAAATCCAAAGCGAAACAAATGCGAACCTTAATGACATTTTATTTTCGCCCGGAATTGGATTGGCATTGTGTCCTGGTACTGGCACTGAATGGAGAGCGACAGAGAAGGAGAGCCTCCAGAGCCTAGCCTGTCCCCTTGATTAGGAAGCAATATGTAGCGACAATTGGGGGTTTCCCCTGCTCCGGTTTCCGCAACAAAATGAGCCCGAAACCCACACCAGACACTTGGTGGTTTACGTTTATTATCTCTCGTAGAATGGACGCGGGGGATTATGACCTGGGAGAGTATTAGTTCCGTTAAATAGCTCAAACTACTGTGACATATATTTTAGGAACTGGGAAATTTTTGGGGAGCCTTTTGAGAATTGGTTAGGTTTTCAAATCAATGGAAAAAGTTGCTATAGAAAGAGGAGTTTTGTGAGGTTTTTCAGAGAGGTAAGGGAATTTTCATTTGGTTTTTGAAGAGGCTTTTGATGCACATTTTATTTATTTTATATATATTTTAATTTAAGATTTTTATTTAATTTCTTAGAGTATTTTTGTATTCATTTTCAATGAGTTTTTGATGCAATTTTTGGAGGGGTTCTTAGGCATATTTTAAAAGGGTTTTTTGCAGTTAAAAACTGGCAGCTTAAGGGTTTTTGTCTTCCATTTTCATGAAGTTTTTGTAGGGGTTTTTGATGCTTTTTTAAGGGTTTTTTATTCAGTTTCTTAAAACATTTTTGTATTTTTTTGAAGGGGTTTTGATTCATTTTTGGAAGGGGTTTTTAGGCATATTTCTTCAAAATTTTGGAAAGGCATTTTATGCAGTTTTTAAGGCAAGTTAAGGGGTTTTTTTAAGTAAAGCTCTTGGTATTTTATGACTTTATTTTTTTTTCAGGTTTTCGAGAGAATTTTTTATTCCGTTTTTGAAGATGTTTTTAGGGTAAGTTTTTATGAAATTTATTTCGGGGTTTTGATAAAGTGTTCAAGGGATTTTTTGGGAGATTTTTTAAGAAAGATTTTATGCACCTTTGAAAGTTTTCTTTTTGGGCAGGTTTTGGAAATTTGTAAGGGGATTTTTAAATTAGATTTCGAAGCCTTTTTTAAGGTCGTTTTTAAAAGGGTTTTTTGAAGGGTTTTTAAGTTTAACTACTAACTAAAAAAAGGTACAAATCACCTGCTAATTGCATTTTCAAGCCCTTTAATATCCTAGTTTTCAAAACTAAACAATCTTGCCCAAGCTTTGGCTTATTTCTATAACTAATAAAGCATCGAAAACAGACCTGACTAGCATTAATCTTTGTTTATGTCCCAGAAGGGTTTTTTAATCACAAGCTCAGACTCTACTCCAAGCCACTGAGTGCGTGTGTCAACCGAGTTGATGTGATGTGTTGTCTTTGCCGTAAATGAGTGGGGACAGAGGGAAAACGAAAACGAAAACGATTACTTCACACGTCATTCGATTTGACATTCGATTTTGATGGCATCTGTCGCCGACAACAACACCAGCATCAGCTTCAACCATGGGAGCATCATCAACGACACACATCGCGGGCGGCGTGGGCGTATGCGCGATATTACCATACGATATTGAATAGGCGCAGCTATTAATTGCTTGTGATGGCTGAGAGGCAACATAGTCAAGGGGCTGGGAAACGGGGACAGCGTGACAGAGTGACAACATCATTTATGTGTAGTTTACACTTCTCCTCCAGTGCTCGCCATGTTCAATCCGCGCAAACTTGGCACCGACATGACAGACTTCGTCGAGTTTTGCGCCCTGGCATCCCCGGGTTCGTCCTGCCTCCGTCCGTCTTTGTATTTAAATTAAGTACGTGCCCGGGGCGAGTGCACAAATAGCGAAAATAGTTGCCTGCCATCACCAACATTTCCGGATTTGAGTCGGCTTAATCAGCCGTGGCGGGGTACAGGAGCAGCAGGAGGTACAGGAGGTGGTACAGGTGGAGGTGGACGACCTACCAAGGGGATGGAAGCAGTCACCTGGCAGTGACACGCCTCCCTGCAGCTGCCATGCAACTTGTGACTTGCCTGTGACAGCTGCATTGAAGGCTTCACAAAGAGATAGCAAAGAAGCACAGGACAGGACACAGTCAGTCAGGGAGGGGGAAAACAAGGGAAAGAAAGGGAAAGCAAAGTTCTGAGTCCGAGTGCGTGTCCTGGGATGGCACAAAGAGCATTGACTGGCACACGTCCCTGTCCTTTGAGACACTTTCCTTTTGCTGCTGGCTCTGATTTTTCAGCCTCTGACCAAGGCCAAACCCTGTCTGTCGTCCCTGTCCCCCAGCAGCTGCGCAGGTTATCCCATCATCATCATCATCATCATCGTTAGCCCCCTGTCCGGGGCCTCATTAGGTTTGATTCGATTGTGTTGACAGCAGACATCCTTCCGCTCAGAGCAGAGCTTCCTGCCTGTCTTCCATCTCTCTGGCTAATCTCTAGCCAGCGGCGGAGCTGCGTCATCCAGCCAGCCCACACACACGGGCCAATTAGGCCCAAGTTGAAGCCAAAAACAAGATTCGCTTGTTAGTTTTTGTTGCTCTTTTTATTCGAGAAAGCGCCCATGACATCAGCTTCGTGTTACTCCACACGGTTCGGTACGGTCCGGTCCGCCTCTGCCTCAGACGGCCTTGACTTTGGCCCTCTCCAGCTGCGACTTTACTGCAAGGCAAGGCCAGGATAGTCTTGAGTTGGTGCGGGGTTTAATAAAACGAGACTCACCTGTGATCAGAGCATCGGCATCCACGGCGGCGGCCTGGGAGACACCCACCAGAGTGGGGGCACCCTCCTCCTCCTGCTGCTGCTGCTGCTTGTCTGCCCGCTGGAGCACCTGTTTGCGTAGCTTGCGCAGGTAGGCGGCCTTGTACTCCTCGCTGGGCTTGCCGCCGGCGCCGTAGCTTACCTCCAGCACGGTCAGCGGGATCACTGTGGAGGAGACGGCCACCAGGTCTAAAAAAAAGTGAGCTTAAAATGAATATCTCTAAACCAGATGCTAAGGTAGTCACCCACCAGCCTCGTATTTTTCCTCCGGATTCAGTTTGTAGACCATGGGAGAGACGCTGGCACAGGCCAGCAGGAGTAGTAGGGCTACAGGGAGAATGTCCATGGCGATCGTCTGCACTGTCCAAGAGCCGAGCAGCAACTAGCAGGCAGATATGTGGATCTAAGCCAAGCTACATTCAAATTCAAACTTGGCGCTGGGTTTTGCAGCGCTTGGCTTTTGTTTCCCAACAAAAGCATATCGATAGGACTTATCGGTTCGCCGCGTTGCCAGAGTTTTCGGTGTCATCATTCTGGGCAACCAGAAGTTGTAGTATCAGATGTGGTTTGAATATTAAATAGTTCGAATACCAAAATTATCGATTATTCGACTATTCGATATTTCATATCGATATGTTGTATCGATATGCCGATATTCAGATTTTTTCACATCCCTAGTCACACTAAATTGCTCTTTTCGACAAAAAAAAATATTACTTGGTGGCCGGGGCTGAGTTTTTCTTTATTTTCTGTGAAATATTTGTGGCAGCAGTGAAACGTGAACGGTGCAGCAGCACAGGCAGTGGAAGTGGCACCTACGCGTCAGCAGAGGCAGAGAAGCAGAGCAGAAGCGACGGCGGCAGAGCAGCAGCGACAGTGACCGAGGCAGAGGCAGAGGCAGAGGACAGACAACAAAAACGCAACAAAGACGCGAACGCAGAAGAGCATGAAGCGCTGAAGGCTGAACTGGGCTTCAAACGGAATCGAAACCAGAAGCTGTTAGCGAAACCCAGTCCGCCAGAGGATCTGGCAGGGGAGCAGCAGCAGCAGGTGCAGCTAGAAGGGCAGAGGAGCAGTGGCGAGGGAGCAGCAGAGGCAGAGGCAGCAGCAGCAACGGCAGCAGAGGATCTGCAAGGTGCAGGGAAAACGCCTAAGAACTGGACTCTTCAAGCAGCAGCCCCAACATGAGCACCGTGTTCATCAACTCGCGGAAGAGCCCCAATGTGCTAAAGAAGCAGGGCACCGACCAGTGGGTCAAGCTGAACGTGGGCGGCACCTACTTCCTTACCACCAAGACGACGCTGTCCCGTGACCCAAATTCCTTTCTATCCCGCCTGATTCAGGAGGACAGCGATTTGAATTCGGATCGGGTGAGTCTTTGCCAGCTCTCTTTACCCCATGTCCTGTCACCTCCCTCTTTCCTTTTGCCTGGAGTTGGCCCCCGGAGTGACCCCATGCAGGTCAGCCTTTTTCTGGGCCAGAGAGCGCCAGCCAAAGAGAGAGAGAGAGAGAGAGCCAGAGCGTGTCCCACATTAACTGCAGCAGCAGCAGCAGCAGTGCCCTGATTCCGTCGAGTCCTTGGGGCCGCCGAGTTGGGGGGGCGTTGGGCGATGGCCAGAAGGTCACGCTACCAAAATAATCATCATGACACTAATCACAAGCAAACATTTTCTGCCATAAATCTGAAACCGCGCCAGCGGAATTCCAGAGGCTAATAATTCCATTTTTGTGTAAACAACTCGGCCCCCCACCCAATGCTCCTCCGCCACCCCCGCAGAATAGTTTTCAATAAAAAGTTTTTGCACTTTTGGTTCTGCTTTTGCTTCTCCTCCACCTCCTCCTCCTCCTCTTGCTATTGATTAAATTCTGAGCTCGGGCTGCTGCTGCTGCTCCACGCACGCCCACCAATTAAGGCAGCTCCAACCCCGACCACATAAACAGCCACCTTCAGCCGATTACCTTTGCCTAAATGGGCGCTTAAATTGTTGGCAGACCGAATACCAGCCAGGCAGGGGCAGCAGTCATTCGTGTCATTCATTGGAGGGGTGTAGAATAGCTCTAGCTGTGGAGGAAGCTGTTGTTTTTGTTCCAACTGATGGACAGCCAGACAGCCGGGTGCCCACGTAAACAATTGCATGTGCAGCGACCGCCTGGTGACACTCGGCATTACTCAAGAGTGACACATTGCCAATAGTTTGCGGGCGGCTTGCGCGGATACGCAGTGACTGAGTGACTAATTCCTTTGATTTTCTGTATTCCTTACAGGACGAGACTGGCGCCTATCTGATCGACCGGGATCCCAAATACTTTGCGCCCGTTCTGAATTATCTGCGCCATGGCAAGCTCGTTTTGGACGGCGTCTCCGAGGAGGGTGTGCTGGAGGAGGCCGAGTTCTACAATGTGACACAGCTGATAGCTCTGCTCAAGGAGTGCATCCATCACAGGGATCAGGTAAGGATACCATCTAAAGCTTTTAGAAACGGATGACTATAGCTTCTTGCTCTCCTTGCAGCGACCACACGCGGACAAGAAGCGAGTCTATCGCGTGCTGCAGTGCCGCGAACAGGAACTGACCCAGGTGAGTGGATGTAACTACCCCAGTTTCAGCTTAATCTCATCTTTTTACGCCTCTTTAGATGATCTCAACGCTCTCGGATGGCTGGCGTTTCGAGCAGCTGATCAGCATGCAGTACAGCAATTACGGTCCCTTTGAAAACAATGAGTTCCTCTGCGTGGTCTCCAAGGAATGCGGCACAACGGCCGGCCGTGAGCTAGAGCTCAACGATCGGGCCAAGGTCCTGCAGCAAAAGGGATCGCGAATGTAAGCAAATCCCAAAAATAGGCCGCTTTACTAGCAACGCACAAAAAATGCTTGGACATAGAGACTTATTTATAGGGTCTAGATATAGACAATATAATATAGAATTTGCAGATTAGAAGAAGTTTAAGCTTAAGTTCGTTTCTTGTGTGTGCCACTGACTCTATCTCCCTTTCTTTCAACCCTGTGCTCTCATTCCCCCGTCTCCCTCTCTCTGTTTAATTGCAGTCTTGGAATTTAAGCAAAATCCCTGACAAAATATGAGAACGAGAACTAACCATCATCAAGAAAGAAACCACAAACCACAAAACCTATAAACCCAACTCAGCCCCAAATAAAAAATAAACACCAATTGGAAGAGCAGCCAAGGAAACTAGCCACAGTCACAGCATCAGCACAGCAGCAGCAGCAGCAGCAGCAGCAGGAGCACCCATTACACCTTCACATACTGGATACACACCACACACGAGATCAGTTCAGGCTCAAGGCATCATCAGGTATCCTGGGGGGAGACCATCGACACGCTTCAATTTGCATTCGAGACTAAGTTAACAGCTATTCACTGCGATTCTCTCTTTCGTATGCGTGTGTAGAGTGTAGTGTGTGTAGAGTTTGTTGAGTGTGCGGTGTGTGCGTGCGGATCTGAGTGCTTGCATGTGTTCAACCCAAGAGAGAGGTGTTAGAACCAACTGGAACCAAGCTAGGAAACCAGGCCCTGCTTCGTCAGCTTCTGAGCTTCGCTTTCGGGGTTTCCTTCGGCGATCCTCCGCCGGAGAGGGAGCTCAGCTGCTTGGGGCGTACAATAAGCTAGCGGACATATATATATATATATATACACCGTAAACGGAAAGTGTTTTTGTAGGCTTAGTCTTAGTAGTTTTTAACGCGCTTACAATAAACATAAACTAGACGCAATGCCCTTGGTTTAAGCTGCATTTACACATGTCCGAGATAGGGTCCCAGCCCCCTGCCCATCCCCATCCCCTGCTAATTGTAGTATGTGCGTGCCTGTATGTGTGTGTGTGTGTGTGCGTGTTGTGTAGGCCCGGTTTTTAACCTACCTTGAGCTTTATTTAAGATTTAAAAGCAAAAGCAAAAACAGAAGCAAAACCAAAAGGATATATCAACATTAATGAAGAAAAGAATTAAGAGAAAAACAAATTGAATCACGACTGAATTTATGTGAACTTGCACACTCAAAAAAAAAAAGAAGTATAGTGTTGAGCGAATTACCTAACCGGCGACGTTTTTGTACAGACACAAACAACACTGGCTTGATATATATGGATACGAGATATGTTAAGTACATGAATGTATATAATTTTAAATAGATACTAATTTATACACGAAAGAAAACGATAACGAACACGAAAACGGGGTAACCAGAACGTCGCCACCTACTCGTACTCGTACTCCCGGTACCCATTTTGTAACCATTTTGACTTATTTTACGTGCGATTATATAGATTATATACATACTATATATAAACTTATATGCTTACAAGGATTGTTGTTTCGGTAAATAGGAGGCGATGAGCAGGAGAACCTTTACACTAGCAAGTAGAAGCGCAGCGACCGAGTATTAGCAATACAAAACAGAAGGAAAAACAAGAGAAATGCAAGAGAAAATAGAAGAAAGCAGGAGAAAATATAAGAAAGCAAGAGAAAATAAAGGAAAAGCTAGTTAATATATATACTGAAACCGAAACCCTAATCAACACAAGATTCAGATAACGCTAAGCTCCTTTTAACTGTAACCGTAACTGTAACCTTACACCCTAACCCCCAACAAGGATGTACTCACACCCACGTCTATACACACACACACACACACACAAACACACACACATCTCTCTACACACCAGCCCCACACCAAGCCACCACCCTCCCGCAGACAAGGAGGATCGCATCCTCGCCGACGATCGATACCCACACAACAAACCATAAAAATATAAATATGTATGAATAAAAATGGAACCCTTTTCTAAAAAACACTCGAACGCTGTTTTACTTTAGCAAAAGCTGGGAAAGTTTGCCAAAGGAAATCTATTTTCAGCTCTGCAAGCTTTTAGTAGCTTAAAAGAAGGATAAGGTAGCAAGGACAATGCTCTGAGCAAAGCTCTACAAAAGGTAAATGGTTGTAAAAGGATAACTTAAAGCCCTAAAAAGATCTAGCTTTCAAAAGTATATTTATTTTTTGTTTTCTTTAAATTAATAATTATTTTTAATATCTTTTTAAACACTCTTACTCTATATATTATCATGTAAAGTAATATTTTGGTTTTTTATATTTTCTATTTGATAAAAAACAAAAGTATTATAAAAATAATGTAACAGCCGAATTTGAATGCAAATTTTAAAAAACGTTAAATGCCGCCAACTAATGTGGTTGAAGACTGCGCTTAAATAGGTTCGAAACTACGATTAGATCGAAATTGGATTAGTTCTTAGCTGGTCAAAAATGCATGAAATTCAAATCGGAAAGCTGTTCTGAGTTGCCTTTTGTAAGCTTGACCAAATGCTTACTCAGTTTTGCTTAAATACGTACCTATAATTACAAAAAAGGTCTAATAGTTTAATTTAATTTTACATAGCTTTATTTATTATATTTACAGCACTCCAATAGCGAAAACGAGAGCGTGCACAGCGATCCGCGAAGCACAAGTTCATCCTAGTCATCCTCAAGCGGATGTCAGTGATCGGATCTTGGTTCCGGGTTAGTTGAAGCCCAGCAGGCGTAAAGTATTGGAATATATATATATATATATATATATATATATATATATATATATATATATATATATATATATATATTAATATATTATATTTATAATATAAATACATTTAAATGTGTAAATGTAATTGATGGAACATACAAATTTGAATCAATAAAAAAAGGGAAATCAATGTGGAATTGTGTGGTTTAAGCGGCATTTATTAGGGATTGTTTGGAGAAAAAGCTGTTGAAAGCCAAATATATTTTTTTCTGATTTTTAAAAAAAATTTTTTAATTTTTAAAATTTTTAAAATGTTTTTCTGAATTTTTGTAATTTTTTTTCTGAATTTTTAACATTTTTTTTAGATTTTTAAATATTTTAAATTTTTAAACTGCCAAATTTGAATTTGAATATAACTGCCAAATTTGAATTTGAATTTAACGACGATCAGTTTCAGTGTGCCCAGGTGCAGTTGTAAAACAACACCTAAATTTGGATTCAAACGGTTTGAGTCTCTGCTAACTTGCACCGACTCCTAAATGGTTTGAAACTTGAACTTTTTATAACAGTTTATACCAGTTTTCAGTTGCTTGCTGCTGATTTCTGTTCGCCTGTTACCCCAATTTGGGAAACGAGCAATTTGCATGGAAATGTTTGGAAATTTGGATGGGCTGCTGTATGGATGTTGTTGTAGAAAGGTTGTTGTTGCCATCAAGCTGTTGTTGTCGGCAACAAATAGCTATAAATGCATAAAATAATACATAACAGTTTATACCAATTATTATTTTTGCCCAAAAGTTTTTATAACAGTTTATACCAGTTTTCAGTTGCTTGCTGCTGGTTTCTGTTCGCCTGTTACCCCAATTTGGAAAGCGGCCAAATTGAATGAAACATTTTGCTCACTTGCATCAGTGATGCTCATCTGCATCAGTGATGCTCATCTGGCTATTTATCAATATTGGAGGGCAATAAAATCGGGCTTAATGACAGTGATGCTCATCTGCATCAGTGATGCTCATCTGCATCAGTGATGCTCATCTGCATCAGTGATGCTCGTCTAGCTATTTTTTTGCATTATTGGTAGAAAATTATATCTCACTAGCTGCCAGTGATGCCCATTTAGCTATTTTGCATTATTGGGACAAAATAGCATCGCACTAACTGCCAGTGATGCTCATCTAGCTATTTTGCATTATTGGGACAATTTGGAAAGCGGCCAAATTGAATGAAACATTTTGCTCACTCGCATCAGTGATGCTCATCTGCATCAGTGATGCTCATCTGCATCAGTGATGCTCAGAGATTCATTGCCTCCCAATATTGCAATATACCTAGATGAGCATCACTGGCAGTTAGTGAGATTCAATTTGGTCCCAATAATGCAACACACATGAGCATCACTGACAGTTACATGCTATTTTGTCCCAATAATGCAACATGAGCCAAATGAGCATTACTGGCATTAAATGAGCTTTAATTGCTTGCGAATCAGTGATGCTCATCTAGCTATTTTGCATTATTGGTAGAAAATGGCATCTCAGTAACTACCAGTGATGCTCATCTAGCTATATTGCAATATTGGCATCTCACAAACTGTGTATTGTGAATCTCATTGCCCCCTAATTCGGAATCTTCTAGGCCCTGGACTCTTCCAGTAATGTATCCATCCAAATATTATTATACCCTTGCAGGGTATTATAATTTCAGTCAGAAGTTTGCAACGCAGTGAAGGAGACGTTTCCGACCCTATAAAGTATATATATTCTTGATCAGCATCAACAGCCGAGTCGATCTAGCCATGTCCGTCTGTCCGTCCGTCTGTCCGTCCGTCCGTCTGTCCGTTTCTACGCAAACTAGTCCCTCAGTTTTAAAGCTATCTGAATGAAACTTTGTATATAGTCTTCTATACACTCTCACTGCTATATATGTCGGAACGGGCCGGACGACTGTATCATATACCTCCCATACAAATGTTCGATAAATGTTTAGAAAAAAAATTATAACTTGGCTGTTTTTCAATATTTTTGCATCATTTTTAAGATATAGCCATTTTATATTATTCCAGAATTTTGGTAAAAATTTTATGAAAATCGGACGACTATATCTTATAGCTGCCATAGGAACGATCGGAAAATGAATAGGAAAAAAATTATAACTTCGTTGTTTTTCAACATATTCTTATCTACTTTTAGAAATGAGCTTCTTTTATTATTTCAGAATTTTGGTAAAAAATTTATGAAAATCGGAGAACTACATCATATAGCTGCCATATAAACGATCGGTAAATGTGGAGAAAATGTAAAGCTGGGAATGTAAAACTGTAACTGTCAAACTGTAAACATAATAAGTATAGGTACAATGCAATGAAACTCTGTTTTGTGAGTGTTTTCAGCATTTAAATTTATAATATAAACATCAAAACCAATCTGCAAGGGTATACAAACTTCGGTGTGCCGAAGTTAGCTTCCTTTCTTGTTACCAATTCAGGCAGATTACCCATCTTCCCCCAGAAAAATACTTATTTCTTTAATAAATATTATATATTTTATTTTCGTACATTTTCTTGGACTTAACGTAAATAATTTCCTAGATTTTCTTAAGCTATTTATTAGGTAAGTTATCCGCTAATAACTGATTCAACTCGGCTTCATCTCCAGGACCACCTGGGCACCAGGTCATGCTGCGCGGTAGGTATTGATTAGAAGCCGCGACATTGCGAATTTATGCAAAATACGAGCGTGGCCTTATGCGATATTCATAGACGAAGGCGTGGCAACTAACCTTCAAGGTTTCCCGGTCCTTATCACGACTGCGCAGCCAAGGAGGAGCAAGTAACGCGCTTTTATAGATTCCGCCGGCGCAGGCAGGCCATGCACGCATATATCGATATATGGACGCATTAAAATTTAACGGCAATGGCAGGGCATCCCCCTCAACCCTGCACTAAAGCGGAGCCGCAGCCAGGACACGTGCGCATTTATGTTTATTCTAAACAAAGGAATAAAAACTTTGTCGCCGCGCACATGAGACCGCCGACTCCACTCCGCGGATGGAAACTTTTATTTTTTTGGCCGCAGTCGCGGAATAGGGACATTAGTGCGTTGCTGGCCTTCTTTCAGCCTCCATGTCCAAGGGATCACTGGGGGAAAAGCTGTATAGGATTTAACAGCCAGGACCTGCAAAGAAGAAAAATGCGGTTTTAGATAGAATAATGGAAAGGTTATATCAATAGGAAATTGTATAAGGAAATCAAAGCATAAACTATAAAACTAAACATAAACATAAACTATATATAAAGACAATATTAAAAGCATCGATAAATTTGATACATCAAAATATAAATTATAAAATATATATGTAAATTTAAGAAAAGTGACATTTAAAAATATCATAACTTGGACAAAAAGGCATTAAATTCAATTCGGAAAGCAGAGTTATGTTAGTTTTTACTAGGGTAACAAATCTGCATACTGCATAACAAATTCAAAATTTGGTCAAATTTTGATAAAATTTGGAAAAAATGGCTAAAAAATTGTTTCGTTCGCCTGTTGATGCTGATCAAGAATATATATGATTTATAGGGTCAGAAATAAATCCTTCACTACTTTTCAAGCTTCCGACTGAAATTATATGTATATTCGATATTATTATTATTATTCCTGGTCTATATGCAATATAATAAATATAATAACAATCAATAATTACTACAGAATCAAAGTAACAATTAATAATTAAATAAAACCTTAAGCTATCAGAAAAATGATAAAGATAAAGGACACAAACAATGAAAAATAATAAAATAAATAATACAAAATATCCTCCTAGCTTGCACTAAGGCCCTTTATGTAAGCATTCGTTTTGTAAACTTTACTAATTTAAATTATTTGAATTCAGCTTTCTTTTCCCATATTTTTCCTGCTATCCCTTCTCGCAAATTACCTTCAAAGGCATACATATTTTCCCTCTGTGTCCCCTGTTTTTCCTGCCCGCTGCTCTCTCGACCAGAAGCTGGCCTCGGGGAGAGCTCGTAAAGGAGCACAGCGCGAGCCTAAGCGAAATTTCATTGGTTTTTATGGCTTTCACTTTTTCCTGGCCTCGGCTCAGCTCGTCTTGAGACTGCCTCCTGCTCGAAGTACGACTCCAACTCCGGGCCCAACTCCTGCTCAAACTCCCTGGCCGTGTCTGGAGCAGCTCTCAACGACATTGACAGTGGCTGGTGACGCGGAGGCTGCGGCATCGCCATCTTTGCATGGCCACTGGCACCCATCCTCTTCCCC